TATATATGATCACTTAAAGGCCGTTATTTGTGTCTGACTAGGGTTGAGTTTTCATCACACGTGGGCGAATTTCGATGTGGTGAATAAAACTGGCATGAAGTAGAAGTGGAGCGTTTGGTTCTATGGTTGAGTACGGATGTGAAAAGCAAATTTCTGAACGTAGTAAACTGGCTGCCACAAAGTGCATTGGTTTGCCTATTGGTGTATTACTAAAAGTCAAGTAAGTAGACTGTCATTGTGTTTCTCATTTCATGGTAAGGCAAAAATCCTAGATATAGTCAGCCACAGGAAAGGACATCATCGAGCTGTCAAGAAGATTAAAACCTATTTCATAAAAAATGGCGCAAAGTCATTGTATATACAAGCAAACGTATTTACTCACCGGTTCCTGATTGTTCAAACATTGGATAGAGCTAGCCACCGAATTAATTACTATCTAGTGGATAAGTATTAGGAAAACCAATTGCGTTATCCACTGGTTATCCGGAATAACCTTACGTGTTTTCTTTGTACGCGGGACTTCAAGCAGACTACTGCAAATTGCCTTAAAACACCAAACGAGGCGCACGAAAAAGAAAATTGTTTAAAGCAGCGATTAATGACTAAAAGAAAAGTGAATACGAAAGCAAAGCACCACGAAAGATTAAACCAGACAGAGATTTTTTGAAGAAACTTGGCGCGCTTCGCCTTAGACATAGGACGTGCTAAAAGTGAATAAATAATAAGTCTTTTAAGATATGTAATAGCTATTTTGTCTTTATCGTGCTTAGTACCCTGATGGGTAAACCTGAAGTCTGTGTTTTGCTTTTTAGGCTTAATCATCGTGAATGCATGGTATGGTCGTTTAGTATCCATGGGAGAAAGGTAAGCCACAAAACGAACGATTCACATACTGTCTTAGTTCACAGGACGCTCGTCGAGGTCCCAGTAAAGTGATCGATGTTACGGTCCCTGTGCAATGTCAAGTTATGGATTCACGACTCTTCCTCACTGAGTCTTCAAAGGTGCGAGAGCCGGCGCCATGCGCGGGAAAATTTATGCTAAAGGTCACGGTTTTGCTTCTGATTCGTCGAGAAAGTTATGCGCGATGATTAGACAGTCACAAGGTTTGACAATAGAGCCTTGGTTTTTCAACTTTTTACGTGACCTAGTAAGTGAGAATCCTTCGACACCGCTGAAAAGAGCGTGAAAAATAAAATTGCCAAGTTTGAGCGTGATTTGGTGAAAGAAGACCATACATATAGCTCGACAGAGTCGAAAAATTTGGGGGAAAATACCAACGTCTTTAAAATTTTGCGACTTTTAGGAGTTATATCTACGCTCGCTTTAGACCGATTACTTTCAAACTTAAAAAGTTTATTTAAGTTAGGGTGCTCTTGTTACCGGTGTTGACGCATTTTCGCTAAATGATCCTCATAAAAATTTGAAATAACCGTTGAAGGGTCTATTCAAAACCACAGCAACGGCAAAGTTTTTGACGCTTACATTACTTGCCTTTCTTGGCACTTGTGTACTTTATGATTGGTTTAAAAATCGTGCCAAATCGTGTCACATGTCAAGTCATTTAGGTAAAACCAGAACTAACCGTGGCTTCCTCCCACGTTTCCTGTGCGTTTTCTTAGATTCAGCCCGCATTCATTGTTATTTTTCATTTAACCTATGGTTGGTCTATCGGATTGCACTGAAAGTCTTTTGTGTAACACCTGTTTTTCCATGTTATGTTTTGTTTTGTCTCTTTCAGAGTAATTCAAGTCTCCTGACGGGAAAAAGATGCCGCGAATAAGATATTTGTTGAGAGAGGTGGTTGACGAAGTGACAGTCGGTGATAACGAACCTGTTAGAATACGAAACAATGTAAGATATCCTGCCATTTTCACATAGACCATAATGCACGTTGTTTACCCCAAAATACATTTTTCATGACCATTGTTTGCAGTTTCTGCTGGGTATTACAGTCATCCCAAAAGAAATCGAAGACAATGGATATGCGAGATTTTGGATGTAAACAATCGGACGGATATTAGCTTTTTTTATGGACTTCTATCAGTACCACTGGTAAAGTCTCGAGCAATATATTTAACATAAACGCTACATGCGCTTTTTTTATTTACTTCACTTATTGAAAGTGCTTTGCCTAAAATGTGACTCAAAGTTGAAAGATCATCACTTCAATTCATGATTCTTAATCTTAATCTTATCGTTCGGACCTAGTACGCAAAACTTACTTTGGTATCTGCAACTTTGGTTTTAAAATCCAGCCTGTTGACCGACTATTTTATTTGCAAGTCAAAAGGACATATCTTGAACGCCATGTACACCAAAAATTAGCTTTCTTAACGCAAAAACTCGCGCATGTGTGAATTCAAAGTATACACAAGTAATTTAAGGCGCCATAAAGACACAGCTAACAGAACAAAATTCCCGTACGTTCGCGTTAACTTGATTTTCCAGCCTTCGCTAGCATCAGGAAAACCTCGAATCGAGCTTAAGAAGGTAAACAAATCAATAAACACTGGGAAAGTTTCGTTTGTATTGTAACCTTATTTTCTTCCTGAAAATTACCTCAGAAAGTAAACCGTGCCGGACCAAGGACCACATACTGTACTCCGGTTCTCTCCTCTCCTTAAAAACCAAGAACCGTCCTTTTAATGTGCTACCTCGTTTTAGCTCTCTTATTTAAATTTGTCAATCACGCTGAGGTTTAGAAGAAAATTTCCGTAATTAAGTAAGTAATGTACACAGGAAAAATCACAAACTGAAGGATTCTGGTAGTTGCAGTAAGATGACGTCATCTGCAATCGTCCTATTGAAATTTGCTGTCATGACAACGGACCGGGCGTGTTAAGACCTTTATCGCAGCTTTTAGTTTAAGGTGAAAGCAGGTTAGGGCGTGCTTGTTGCCGCTGACGTCTTCTTCTCTTTTTCTTCCTTTAGCACATAAAGCGCAGTCGAGTTAGCACGGTACTTATCAAGGCACAACAGTCAGGAGCTGCTGAACGATTTTGTTAAATGCCTGCTGGTTTTATTACTGAACTCTGGTAAAATTTTGCACACATGGATGGTGTTATATACCAAGAAAGGAAATAAAGTAGAGTTGCATAATTTTTAGAACATTTTACATCTCACAGCCTCGAATGATAATTTACAAGGCTGGTTTCAGTGTCTCCGGGCCAAACACACATTAAAAAAATATTGACAAGACATTTTTGTAAGTATTTTATCACTGAGATGATCATTCGCGAATTATGACGACCTGTACGTCATGTAAGACCTTATTAAAAATCCTTTAACCTTTACATTCTTTATTGATAAAGAAGTACACAAAGCACAATTTAACGATAACAAGATGCCAAAGCCATAGGCTTATCTTGTATAATATCCTGGGCCACACCCATATTACAATCTAGGGAGTGCGTCGATTTACGTTTTTGGGTCGTGGGATGGTTTTCTAGCGCTTGTTGCCCAAGGTTGTATGAATTTATTCGCCCTTGAACAACCTTAACTTTAGAGGTTTTGACTGATGATTATTTGTTTAAAAGTCAAGATTAGTATAATTGTGTCCACGTGTTTTGCCAAGTTGTGTTCTGCATTGTGGTTTTCATCTTTATTTACGTTTACCGTTACAGTAAAGTCGTCGTCACGTATACATCAACATAGACATTACCATGGCAACCGAGGTTTTGTCGCCATGCTTTTTCTATATTATTGAATTGCAGCATTGCGCTCGGAATTACATAACTTGCGCATTTATTTGCTTCCTAAGCATCCTTTCGATTTACCTCGATTTATACGGATTTAAAATAAAAAGGAATACATTTCATTGATTCAAAATGGTGGATGCAAGATGGCGGATGGTTCCAGGTCCTTCTTTAATGATAATAGACCTTTTTATCGATTCGGCGGCCATATTCAATTTATTAGATTTAAGGAGTATTATGGGATGCACAGGGGGCACTCGCTTAGTATTTACGCTAGCTTTTCGGCCAAAAAGAGAACTTCACTGTATATTTCTCGGGAAAAAGGTGATCATTATCACATCCAAACACGGTACAACGATCTTTTTTTCCAATTACAATCTTTTTCTAGGAAAACGTTAAGAAAAATTGGCCCGAAAAGCGCGCGTATATATACTGAGCGAGTATATCTGACTGTGCCCATGCCCCCTGGGCATCCCATAGTAATCCCTAAATCGAATACATTCAATATAGTCGCCGTATCGGTAAAAAGGTCTATTGACGTCATCAGGACATCACTTCTATTTTTATGGGTTAGCTAAATTCTTGAATTTGTTAGACACCTTTCTATTTAAGTATATTTTAACTTTGAGGAGAAAAATTGATGGAATTTGGATTCTGCCATTAAATTAAACAAGATAACTTCATAATGATGCCAAATTACGCCATTGTGTCAATCAAGTTATACCTTGATGTCGGAAATGACGAATTCATGATTCTGTGTAATTTATTGATGTGGCATCCTTTGTGTTTATGTCAACTTGTGCAAGATATTCAAACTTGGCTTAGAACCGAGAACTTTTTTCATTCATGGTATAGAAAATTTGCATGGCTGTTTCCTTGTGGGTGTAGTTTTTCACTTTTGAGTCAGAAAGGGTGGGTAACTGAAAAATCTGGGTATCTATCTTTTGAACATATCAGATTGTAAATGATTTGTTTTTCCGAATATTTGGCTTTCGTAATTCGTTTTCATTGTTCATGATGATCAGTTCTATTGATATCTTTATTGATGTTCTACATTAACCATAAAGCAAGAGGCTGTATAGATAGAACCGTTATCGGTTTCAAAGCTGCCATCAGGTTTGGTGCTTATCACGATCCTCATTACAGAGACAAATTTTAGAACATGAACCAATGCACACTTCCCTTTGCTCGTCATTAAAGTTTACGTGTCTTCCGTACTCGTGTTATGTAAATAAGCAGAAGGCGTTCAAACTTGAAATGTCGACATGTCAGTATCTTTGGCAGCTCATTTTACAATAAAGGTTAGCTGTGGACTCTCTTTGAACTCATTTGGTTCGCTTTGATATTTGAGAACGTCATGTGTAAGCCTCGTTGTGTGTCAGTGGCTTTAGTTTGCGCGTTTTTGGTGATAGCTACGCTTAACGCCAGAAACGCAAGTGGCACAACAGCGCCTAACAACTCCGGAGTTCAAGCAACTTCGAAATGCCATAACATGTACACTTACAATAGCTTTTACGCCGGAGCGAACAACAAGATAGAAGCACTGCTTCGTGAAGTTAAGCATGAGCTGAGCGAGATTCGAGAAGAACTCAAATGCATGAAAGAAAAGAAAACGATTGAGAAAGGTAGGTCAATTTCATTTTTTATTATTAATTTTTTTTTTCTCTCAACAAGCACAGCTAAGTTACGTGATAAGGGTGTAATAGTCCACTTTTATACTTATTTTCAATTGTCTTGACAAGGAGAGTAAAGATTTACCAGTTCCTCTTCGATTCATCGTTAGCACCAGAAAAAATGTTCCTTGGGTTCATAATTTATTGGTTTTGTTCGGAAGACTTGATCAACAAGTTAAACAATTTTTAATTTCCGTTTCCCTTTTAAGACCTAGAGTATTAACGAGATTGTTGTCCTTAAATTTTAGTGTATAAGAACTGCGCAGAACTCTACAAAGCTGGTAAACGAATTAGTGGCGTTTACACAATCAACCCTGATAATGACGGTGCCTTCGATGTTTATTGTGACCAAAAAACAGCCGGTGGGGGGTGGACAGTGTTCCAAAAAAGACTGGACGGCTCGGTTGATTTCTACCTCGGCTGGGGCGACTACAAACGAGGCTTTGGAAATCTAAATGGTGAGTTTTGGCTTGGACTGGACAAGATTCACCGCCTGACAAAAGAACGAAGCAGGCTTCATGTGGATCTTGAAGACACAACTGGAAAAACAGCTTACGCTGAATACGACTTTTTTGGTGTTGCAAGTGAGAGAAGCAAATACAAGCTGAGTCTTGGAAAATACTTCGGTAAGTCTTGTAAGCAGTTGCAAAAAGAAATAATTGAGATGTAAGTTTTTATGATTGGTTTTGTGACGAAAAGTTTTTCCTTTTGAAACGAATTAAAGGTTTTTCGGGAAACGGTGCCTAACTCTCGATAAAACTGGGAGAAACTAGACTCAAATGGCAACTCGCTTGCGGGGAAGAGCCGTCACTTCTCTCTAGGACCGGGATCAAACCCGCACTAACTGGTACAGGTAGTAGATAAAACAAAACTGAGCTTTGGTTCCAACAATGTTTATTCTTCTCGTTACATCAACTACACTGTATCAATAACTCTAGTCATACTTGGCGAAGTAATCAGTAATCCATCCGTGACGTAATCGAAAAATAGTAAAAACTAGTCGGGTTACTTATGTATGACGTCTACAACCATTTAAGACAAAATTAGTACAATAGAAATATAAACAGAAATTTCTTACAGTTAAGTGAAGACTAAAAGCAAAATCTATTGTTCACCTGAAGTCTTTTGTTACTGTTACTATTTTGGCAAGTAGAAGTACTACTAAAACCAGGTCAGCAAAATTGCCATTATGTACCAAGTATTAGAATAAAAACTCTGAATCGCACCAATGACATTACGAATCTTCATAGCCAATAACATCGCAACTTAATTGACAGCCGACCAAAAACATCGCGACTTAATTAATTGAGCAATCAGGTCAATATATTACCAGAGTTTAATACCATCGACTGACGTGATACAACTCATTTTGACTCTGAAGATGACTACCGCACAGGTTGTCGTAACGTCAGTCACTGTCAACAACAACAGTCCTATTCACGACTATGTTCAACCGGGCGATCATACTCAACCCGTTTATTAGAATAAGTTAAGTAGCGGCTGTTCAAACAGGAAGAAGTGGAGACCAATTTCTATTTTCCCTTGAACAAAAACAGATCTATTTCAAAATTACAAGTCAGCAAAACTTCTCAAGAGGGTTTAGGGCCTGGGTCAAAGGTGTCTTCGGAAATATCTCTTTCTAGGAGACTTAGAACAAAATGAAACTGTCCCCAAAAGTAAATCTTGAGGTTTTCGTATGTGTTAAAGTTTAGTCATGGTCACGTGAACGTCATGTAACCAAAAACTGAAAATGAAAGAAATTGGCGAATTGGTGGGAATGTACTTGGTTTGGATAAATAAGTTGGCCTTTCTATTCAAGATTAAATTTGGGCATTTTAAATGATATTTACTCTCATAATTTTTTTTGTTGAAGTGCAGTGGCTGGTCATTCCAAACGTGAAGTGTTAGAAATAGTTAATATGAATGAGAAAAATCTTATTGCTCGATTTCTTTTCTTAAAACCTTCGTCAATTTGAAAATTATTTAAGATTTTTAGCAGAATGGTCTCGTGACATATCACAAGACTTATTAACACAATATATATACTTTAAAATGTTAAGTACAGTGAGTTATTTATGTGTGAGAAATTTTGATTCAGCTGCATAATCGGGGGCTAAGAAATAAGCATGCAATAAATCATTTTATTATATAAAGGTGCATTATGGGAAATGTGGAAGTGGCGTATTGCCGTTTTAGAAAGTCTTGTCACCGAACAGTTTTTCCAAGTTCACCCTTCTTGTTGTTTCACTGTAAGTTTTATAAAATGCTTTGTGAGAGATATTTGTTTGATAAGAAGCTATGATTCTGTCAATTTAATTACAAGTAAATTTCTCGCTAACGTCAAGTTCCTTAGGGAAAAAGACGGGTTTATATAGGCAATATTAACCCAATGAACTACACAGCTCTGACAAAGCCTTGTTTCTCTTTCCTTGAAGGTACTGCCGGTGACTCGCTTTCATATCATCGTGGAATGGCGTTCTCTACCAAAGATCGAGACAACGACTTGAATGGCGGCGACTGTGCAAACCGTTGCAAGGGAGGATGGTGGTTTAATTCGTGTCTTGATTCAAACCTGAATGGCCTCTATCACCACGGGAAACACCCTACGTCATGGGAGGGCGTCAACTGGAATAAATGGAAGGGCCACAGCTACTCCGCTAAACGAGCTGAAATGAAAATAAAACCAGTTAAAGCCTAAAGCTACCTTCTCTTTTTTTCTGCTCTAACTTAATCGATATAAAGGACGCGCAACATTCAGTAGATGAGTTACGGTTTAACCATTCTGATCACATCATTGAGTGCAAAATCAGTATAGACAATTAAAAATTTTGGCTTTTAAACTCTCTCAGTACAGTGTTCTCCTGTTACACTAGTGAAATGTTTGCCCCGGATTCGAGTCAGGGACTGACGAATCAGGTTGGACAAGTGAACTGCCGGTGCTTGCCTGGGGGCGGGGGGGGAGGACAGAGGGGGCGACTTATTTTTTTCAGCCTTAAGCCCACCCCACTGGTCGCAACTCTGAAAATGCATCACGGCACCTCTCAATTAGGATTTCCCTCTTAGACTATTCGTGGTCTTTTGGGTTGGATGAAGAGAAGTGTGGTACGCATTGTCCAAAAAGCCTATTTTCGTACCTCGCGTAATCCAGCACACTCTAAATCAGTACCATACAACAATCCAAGTACGTTGTTTCGCACGGAAAGCAAAAGTAGATTGACACGGGTGGATTTATGGACATGTTCGTTTTCGTTTCCTCTGCGGCTCTAGCCTGTGCCAGGCTCTCAGTCACGATCTTTGCACATACATGTATAAACTATCTAGGCCTGCATCGAGCAGGCCGCTCATTGAGCTCCGGATATGTATACTTTAGGACCTTTACGACCTTTTCTTTCGTAACGTATTTATCCCATCATTATTCTTTAACGGCAGTGGCATGCACTCATTGATTAACAATGCCGTAACAAAAAGCGAAAATGGAAAGCAATGTCCCAACAGCCGAATCTACGTCCTGTCAAAAATGGACAAGCATGACAAGTTGAACGTTAAAAAAGAAGTAATACGTGACAAGTTTTTACTAATCCTCTTTATCTTAGTGTTTAAAGCATTAAAAGCGGTTAAGTTGTAAAATAAGAAACAGGACGAGAAATGTGCCATTTTCCAGGTTAAAGGTCAAGTCATTCAACAGCAACTCCACTTAATCGATAATCTCAGCAGTTTACATATTTTTCTTCCAGTCTAGTCTTTCCCCGTAGAGATTTGATGGGCGATTTGATGATAACGATCTTCCCTGCGGAAGAGAGTGATTGGTTCTTCTTCTTAAACGAAATAAGCCTTTTGCAACACAGCTAGGGTCACAGGGTACAACTGATAGTCACGCTGGCGAGAAAACAATGTAGTGAACCAAGAAAGAGGATTGTCGCATGTATCGTCTAAAATGATAATTTCTTTTCAAGGACCATTGCGTTGTTTGCTCACAAGCGTAGCTAACTCTGTAGCATTTCAGTTGACGGTTTGTTAAAATTAACAACACAGCATAGGATTTGGCATGGCCACAGGAACTGCCATTATGATATACTGTGTAACTGAGTACATAACATAGATAATAGAAAGAGGAATGATTAACATTTAAAACTGCATTCTTTACCCACAGCAAAACCTTAATAGCGTGCAATAAGGCATTTTTCACGAGGACGTCACTTTACTACGAGTGATCAAAATACTTCCGGGTTTTCCTTTCGAGGGCAGATTAAATTTATAATTATGACCACAGCTGATTACAAAAAAAGAGAAAAAAAAGAAATCAGTTCCCTGGTTGAAGTCGTAGAATAAAACTATTGTGAGAACGTCCTGTTAATGCTAATGATTTCCTTTTTAAATCGATCGAAAAACTTGAACTGCCACCCATTTTTCATGTGCACTTTAATTCTAACTTCCATCCTTAAGCTGAAAAATGGGTGGGAATTAAGTGAAAGTATATTTTGTGTTTCAACGTTAAAGGTCGTTTAATATATTTCCGTTTGCGTATATCGTGTAAATCGCGTGTATTGCAGCATGCTTCTTTACTCCGGAGTATAAAACAGAGCGAGACTCGGAAGACTGTTCAGTGTTTTGCAAAAGTGATTTATTTCTCGTTAGTGAAAAGCAGAGATTTAAACGAGAACGAGTAGGCTAATCATGGTTTACCGTCGTTCACTTTGGAGTCTTTGCAGTCTTCTGACTGTGATAGCTTTACTAAATTTTGCCAAATCAAGCATAATAGCAAACAACACCGCAGTGCGTAGCCCCGACGCGGGTTCTAAATGTCATGTATACAACACTTACAACTACTACAACAGCCACTTAAACACGGGGTCGAACAAGAAGATGGAAGCACTACTTCATCGAGTACTGAATGAGTTAAGCGAGATAAGGGAGGAGATTACGTTATTAAAAGCAAACAAAACGACTGGTAAGTACGTGTACAAAGAGTGCGCACCCTTACCGTACACGTAGAAGATAGGAGTTCTTTGATTTGTCTTTGTTTTGCTGTGTTTTGTTTGTTACTTATTTATTTAATGATTCATTTCTAGCTGTAACCTTGTCCCTCGTGGCAGTCATCGATTTGTTTCAAGTTCTTACTTTGCGGTCTTCTTTCCATTCCCTGCCCCCCCTGGCATCCCGAAAATGCCCATCCCTGGAACCCTTATCGACCACAAATGCCTTGATTTATCTACAAAATAGAGATGAGTAAATTGATTCCGTGCCAGGAGGACGTTTTGAACAGACCTTAAATGCTTTTCTTGAGTTTAATGAACGTTGAAGGAGACTACATGATTGAAAAGTATAATAAAAACACACGCCGCACTTTATTTGAAAAAGAAACTCTGTGATCTGATGATGGACAAATAACTCTACCCGCACTTTCTTGATAGAGAGAAGTTAACAAACAGCGGACGGAACAGTAGTAATCATCATCATCATCATCATCATTAACATTTTTATTATTAGTGTTATTCCTATTGTAGTTATAGTAAATGCTCTTCAGCTACTGTGCGCTCCTCTGCATAAAGGACAGGCGCTGAAAAATTAAAACTACTTATTTGTTTAAGATTGCACCGTTAAAACACATTTAAAACGCTAAAGGGATAAAAGTTGACAAGCAGCTAAAAACTTTCGATCCATAGAAATCCAACAATCGGGTCTAAATTAAAAATCATACCTGAGTCACACTCGTGAAAGACGGTAAAAAGGGATAAAAGGCAAAAACCATGTGTTCTCTAAAACGACTGCTACCTTCGAATGCAGCAGTTTGTAACTTCTTATCGACAGACCCCTGATGTTTTCCCCTCTGGGGTGTCAAACGATACAAAAGTACTTCAGTTGTTTATTTCTTTATCCTTAGCAACTTACAAGAACTGTGGTGAACTCTACAAAGCTGGCAAGCGAAACAATGGTGTCTATTCCATTGACCCCGACAACACTGGTGCCTTCGATGTTTATTGTGACCAAAAGTCGGCCGGTGGGGGGTGGACAGTGTTCCAAAAGAGACTGGACGGTTCGGTTGATTTCTACCGCGGCTGGGATGACTACAAACGAGGCTTTGGAAATCTGAATGGTGAATTTTGGCTCGGACTGGACAAAATTCATCGCCTGACAAAAGAGCGAAGCAGGCTTCATGTGGATCTTGAAGAGACGACTGGAAAAACAGCTTACGCTGAATACGACTTTTTTGGTGTTGCAAGTGAGAGAAGCAAATACAAGTTGAGTCTTGGAACATATTCGGGTAATATATAAAGCCTAGCACCATACAAACATATAAGCGCAATTAAAATTTTGTTTCTAAAATTGTTGTAATAATAATACCTCTACTATATAACGGTCGAGAGGTCTTCCAAAAATTATAGCCTGAAAAAGAACAGCTTTGGATTTGACCCATTCAGAAAATTCATGATAGCGAAACCACAGATAGGGAACATAAGTAGAAGAGAAATTTCGTACTTTGTGACAAAATGACATTATTCCCTTGAATCACACATTTCTCTTCGCCTGTTCTTTCACTTCTTTAATTTTGCAGGTTATTGTTTAGACTTACTTCTATGGGAAAAGTTCGATAATTAAGATAATTAGGATAATTAAGCTTAAATTATTTTAAAGTAAAGCCTGGTCAACAGTAGAACTGGAAACGTTGATTTCCTGGCCAGCAAGTTACATGATTCTTCGGCATGGTTCGATAGACCTCTCTTTCCTCTGCGCAAGTTGATTGGTTGTCAAAGTTGTCTGTGAGCGTCAATGAAGACGTCAAAAGTGCTACAACGGGACACTTTGTTCGCTGACACGGGACTGGTCACTGGCAGCTGACATGTGAATGTGTTCAGTATGATAGACTCCAATTTTGAGGTTTACTGGAAAATAATGTGAACAGGCTAACCAGTTTCCAGGTTGTCGCAAGTTTGCCAACAGCCCTACCAGCCTCGCCCGTCCTCTATATAAAAACCTCCTGTAGTTGTAGATCTTAAAGATCAGACACGCTTATGAGTGTTGAATTCCGAATTATTTTTTTCTTTGTTTGTTTCTTTTATTTCCCTGAAGTAATAGCCAGCTGTTTTATTCATTTTTTTTTCATAAAAAAATATAATTTTACCAGATAACTAAGCTAAGTCGAACAATCTGCCACTTGCGAATTACTCTCTCCGGATGTGACAACCGGCAGTAACAGTGAGAGAGTTGTAATTCTCTTTGTCTTGCTTCACTAAATATTAATGTAGCACGAATCTTCTCATCTAGGAACCGCGGGTGACTCGCTTTCATATCATCGTGGAATGGCGTTCTCCACCAAAGATCGCGACAACGACCTTGGTTCAAACAGCTGTGCCATACGCTGTAAGGGAGCTTGGTGGTATCAGTCCTGTGTTGATTCAAATTTAAACGGCCTCTACCATCACGGGACACACTCTACGTCATGGGAGGGTGTCAACTGGTATAAATGGAAGGGCAACAGCTACTCCGCTAAGCGAGCTGAAATGAAAATCAAACCAGTTAACACTTAGAGCTTCCTTTTTCTACTTCTTGAGTTCTTCCGAAGCTTTGATGTAGTTGATGCAATACATGGCCGCACTTGATTTAGTAGCTCAGTGACTCTCACTGTCGGGATCAGTGAACGGGTTTATTTTGATTAAGTTACTTGGAGTAAGTAATCAGTCATGCCTAAAAGCGGAGCTACCGCTTAATACAAACCGTTGACTTTAATCAAAACAATGAATGCCTCTGGCTCAAGAATTAAAGGAGCTAGGAGCCGTCGAAAGGAGGAACTCCCACGATATAGTTTATCATTTCACAGCTTTTTGATAAACCGGTCTATTTTAAACATAGTTAAGAGTACTTTTTTTTCTCGTATTGAATATCCTCTCCTTATGTGTGCACATTTCGAAAAATAAAATATGAAAAATTAATAATAATAATAAAAGACAAAAGAATTATAATTAATGACTCAAAACTGCCATGTTCTGGTCTTTATCTTATGATAATGGTTGTTTGGTATGAATTGGTAAGTGTGTGACACCTGGATGGTTAAATGTCTGCACGAAAGGTAAAAAACATGAACATCGTAACTTACAATCTTCCTGTTCTTTTAAGTCTACAAAAGCGCATGGCCTTGAATTAGTAGACCGCTGACCTTTTGAAATGTTTGCTTGAATTCTGCTTTTTATTGTGAACATGACTACAGTAAATGCATGTTACGTTACGTTCTATCCGCTATACGGTGATGCCTATTTTAAATCCATCCACATGTACTCTTACTAATTCTGTAGTACTGAAATTTGAAATGGGCGGCTATATTTCTCCTTAACCAGTGATCAGGCCAAGAAAGAACGCCTGATGATCACAGGTTAGTTTATCCTCAGAACGGGATCCGAATGGTGTGAAAACGAGTTTCCGTATAGTGCAATACTTGTTTTGTTAAGATCAATTGTTAAGAAAGTAAAGTGACAACTATGCAGCTACGTAAAGTTCTTGTAGCACTAGAACTGTGTTGTTCGTTTCTATAAGTTTCTAATTACTCAGTAACTGGGTAATTTGGGTAAGAACGGCCTTCCAGATAGGAGATAAACTGTCAGCACTCTTAAGGTTTGACTGCAAAACAGACCCTATTCTCCTCACTACGTCTATGAGAAACGCTGTTTGGCGAGAAAAGAGGATCTTAATCATAATATTGGGGCTAGACTTACCAGAAGTCGACGTTACCAGGTTTTTAGCGAGCGGAGCGAGCTTCTAGGCCGCGAAGTGGCCAAGAGAGCGACTAAGTCGCGAGAAGTCTTCGTCCCGCGCCATATTAAATCGGACGAAGGACGTTTTTGATAATCTAGTCTGCCTTAAACAGGGCATATAATTTCGTGCAAGTCTGTACTGATTATACACAGGGTAATACCAGCATGACTGACTGATTTGGTGTGCTGGACGAAATTTGTTTGTACTCCAGGGGCACGAAGGAAATGACTATAAATGACTTTAAAATATGGCGACGTGTCCTTTGTCCTAATAAAATTAAGTGTGTTGTCTTTAACAGGCCGGGTATGTATTTTAGGATTTTTTTTGTCCTAAACAGCCGCAGGGTTTCACCTATACCCAAACATTGGTCGAGGAATCCTGTCCCCCTCCCCCGGGGGATGTTTCTCTTCCAGGCTTGTAGTTCTCAGTAGCTCCTGGGATAGACTTGTTGATAACCTAGTTTTCTCTGATTCTCCCGCCCTTCAGAAGACTCAACGGGAGCCAATTTCGGATGTTCTTGTCGTCAAACGAAATATGCCTTATGTAACACAGCTAGGGTCACGGGGTAGAACTGATAGTCACGCAGGCGAGAAAACAATAAAGTGAACCAGGAAGAGGATTGCATGTTTCATGTAAAATGTTAATTTATTTTCGAGGAGTACTGCATTGTTTGCTCATTAGTGTGGCTAAATGTGTAGCATGTGACGGTTTGTTGAAATTAACATGGTATAGAAAGCCCCAGATTTGGCATGGCCAAAAGAACTGACATACACTGTAAATGAATACACATATAGGGAACACTGTACATAGCATGCACCTTTCCGGAAACCACTGAAACAGAGAGTGCATGCACCATACAGTACTTAGTGATAAAGCGATAAACTTCCTCGTCATTGAAAAGCTGATTCTCGAGGGAGAAAGAAAACGACGCTGATCATGGTGTTCCGCTTTTTACTTTCGATTCTTTCTTTATTAAGCGTTGCCAAGTCGAATGCAACACCAAACAACTCGACAGTGCGCAGGGCAGATGCGGATTCTAAATGTCATTCCTATAATACGAATTATAATTACAACTACTACAACAGCCCTCTAAATACAGGGTCGAACAAGAAAATGGAAGCTCTGCTTCATCGCGTTCTAAATGAGTTAAGCGAGATGAGAGAGGAAATCAAGTTTTTCAAAGGCAACAAGACGATCGGTACGTACAAAATATATTAATAGTAATTGAATTCCTTGCTGCTTGCTTATATCCTCTAGAAAACAAGAGATTGAAATAATTTCTTATTCTCCCAGTTTAGAAAATTTAATAAGCTGTTTAATAGAACCATGCAGCTGCCAATCGATGCAAATACCGCTGGACAAAGGCAAAATTCACATCTAATTTCAAAGCATAAGATAATTTTTTTCCTTCGTGTCAGTTATGTTAGAGGAAGATTAACATTTTTTTGAAGCTTTTAAATCCGCAGTTGACAATTCCGTTCGTGCTGATTGTTTGATTGTTGCGCATCTGCGCACTTCACGAATAAGAAGAGAACGACGTAAAAGCCTGTGGTTCTCATGACTGAAAGAACAGTTGATGGCTTGTCTTGTAAAAAACGATACAATTAATAATTTCATCCTTAGCAGTTTACAAGACCTGTGCTGAACTCTACAAAGCTGGTAAACGGAACAGCGGTGTTCATACAATCAACCCCGACAACACTGGTGCCTTCGATGTTTATTGTGACCAAAAAACAGCCGGTGGGGGGTGGACAGTGTTCCAAAAGAGACTGGACGGCTCAGTTGATTTCTACCGCGGCTGGGATGACTATAAACGAGGCTTTGGAAATCTAAATGGTGAGTTTTGGCTCGGACTGGACAAAATTCATCGCCTGACAAAAGAACGTAGCAGGCTTCATGTGGATCTTGAAGAGACGACTGGAAAAACAGCTTACGCTGAATACGACTTTTTTGGTGTTGCAAGCGAGAGAAGCAAATATAAGCTGAGTCTTGGAACATATTCGGGTAAGTTTTTTTAAGGTGGATCTTACAAGAAGCGTAGCACCGTAATGAAAACATAAATTAGAAAAAACAAAAATTACAACAACCGTTAATCCAAGCAGCACCTTTTAAGGACACGGATAGGAAAGTAATTACTTGCCACACGATAGGAAGAAAGCTTGCCTAGCCCCAGGCCTCATTATGCCGCGCGGCCAAAGCGTTTCTGGCCACGTGGTCCAAGGCAAAGAAAAAATCGTCTTATTCTGAATACGATTTTTTGTTGTTGCAAGTGAGAGAAGTAAATACAGCGATTATTCTATATTTATTTATTATTAAGTAGGTTTGTTAAAGGAGTTCCATTTTTCAATGGAATGTATACGAACGAGGTTCCTTTTCTGTCATAAGAGTATTTAAAAGGGTAAGGGATTGAACCTCGGGGCGAAGCCTCCCCGTAGAAAACATGAGGGAGGTTAAGCAAAAACGTTTTTTAGCGGCACACGTCAACCGGAAGTTAGGCCTTGTCTTTTTTGTATGCCTTGACGTTACCAACTTTGTATTGCAAAAGTGTAAGTTTCTTTACTCTTCTTAGAGGGACGACTTGCCAGAACATTTGGGCAAAACCACTTAACAAGAACTAAAAAAAAATCCACTTTGGGCTGACATTTGCTACTTAAAAACGTTTTTGCTTTAGCTGATCGTAATGCTGATCCTCACTGTTGGGTAGCCCTGTACACTCTTTTTTTTTTATAAGAATGTTGTTTTCCCGGGCCAGGCTGAATATTCTTATTTTTCCGCCGATTTTAGGCTTTAAATATTCTTGTATTATTCTTAATAATAGCTTATGACATTTCCGTTTTAGAATATATTAAGGTATAAAGTATAGTTTTGTTAAATATAGTTAGCTAGTTTTGCCGTTTAAAGAAAGGAATAAATTGAAAACGTATATTTGTATTGTATTTGCAGATTTTCACCACACGAAATTATATCCTTTTAAAAATCTCAGCCTGGAGTTTATTCTTAAAGTATTCTTAAGATTTCGCAAATTTTAGCCTCGATATTCTTATAAAATATATTCTTATAGAAAAAAAAGAGTGTAGCCCGACCGCAGGGGCATGTGATTTTAACAAGACATGTCATCGTTTTTGTTTCAATTCGCGCGCGTGACTTTCTGCGAAGAGACTTTAATGGAAATGGTCATAAAAAACTATCAGTGTTTTTGTCAAAGACAAAACGGCAGCAATTTTCCATTTTCTATATTCTTATGGCCCATAGAAATGACGTCGACGACAAAATGTGCAAAACTTTATTTCCATTGGAGTTTTGAACATTCTCGTGTCCTTGCTGTGGTTGGATATAAGAGTACAGACCAACAGACTATGGGCAATTCTTGTCGACATGTTAATCATGAAAATACCTTCTCGAACTACCATAGTTTGAAATAAGCATTCCGTATAATTTCTGGTTGTGTGTCGTTCTTATTGTTAATTGCCCTTGGCAAATAACCCCTTGTAAACGTTACTTTCAGGAACTGATGCATATTAAGCAGCATACGAAACGTGACGTTTATCAAAAAATGCATAATCAGAGCTTGTTTTATATACTGCAGTTTGTGGTGAAGTTGTGGGGTAGCTGTTTACGAACAGTTGTAGCTAGAAATGAAATAATCGAAGTGTCTCTGCTTGTAATACTTCATCAATGGAATATTTTTTCTTTAGGTACGGCCGGTGACTCGCTTTCATATCATCGTGGCATGGCTTTTACCACCAAAGATCGTGACAACGACCCTGACTCCAGCAATTGTGCCACAATGTACAAGGGAGCCTGGTGGTTTAAAAACTGCCTCTTTTCAGACTTGAATGGTCTCTATCTCCACGGGCAGCACTCTAACGCATGGGAAGGCGTCAACTGGTATCACTGGAAGGGCTCCAAATACTCCGCTAAACGAGCTGAGCTGAAAATCAAACCAGTTGATACCTAGAGCTAACACTTAATTGTCCTATTTTCTGCTGTGACATAATCGATACGATGTACGCATATTTCTTCAGTTAATTTTCCCTTGCATGAACATATTTTGTACTTCGCCCACCCCATAACTTCTCTAATGGTCTTTCTCTAATAACCACTGTTATTACTCATTCAAAAGATTTTTCCGTTTCTGATTGGCTAAAATCTCACGCGTAATTCATAATAATCAGCTATTGTCGACCAAATATGGAAGAATTTTGCGATATGTGAAAATGACGTCAAAAGAGCAGCAAAATTGCCAGATTATTGAACCGTTAACCGAAAAGACCTTGGGACGAGGTCAAGTTTGTTTGGTTTTGACGAAATGGGGCAACTTTTCACTCGTTTCAAGGGTAAGAAAAACGCGAACTATAGTCTAAAAACACAGCAAGAACAGCAAGATGACAACTCGACGGACGACATCTGCTCTTTAGAGTATATTCGCAGACCTGAACAATCCTTTCTCTCCTAAACTTGCCGATAAACATGCACTATCGCAGATGAACTTAATATAGACGGAGGTAATCATGTTTTAGCTTGTTTCGAAACTAGGGAAGCTTAGGAATAATTTGGAATGAATAATACAACAATTGTTGACTCGGCTTTCGTATCGTCTGAAGAATTACGGAAATCTCGGAGAGTGTTATCCGCCTAGGCGGTATTCCTCGATCTCTATAATTCTTCAGATGATACTCACCCTCCTTCAATAATTGTTAATTATATGGCAATAATGCTTTTATTAACTGAATTCTCAAGGCACAAAAGCCCTTTGCAGCCAATCACATTCACTGGGATGAATTTAAGGCAAAAAGGCTTACATCATAAAATGGCCATTCCTTTCCTTGCCTTCCAGTATGGCGTTTAGTAACACTGGAATAATTAGCTGCAAAGGGCCTAAAGGAACACTCTGATTGGCTGTATAACGTTCAGGATCTTTGGTGCGGACCGTTACCACGGAACTCATTTCGCATGTTTTTATAGTTCTCCCTGGAAAATTGAAACCTAAAAACACAAATGACGTTTTGATTACAGGGAATATATTGCAATACTACCTTCAAAATCGGACTGAAAAACAGGAAGCAAGAATAGAGGGAGGTGGACGCTTTCAGTTATTTCAGGAAACGAAACCAGGCGATCTTACAAAAACGTCTGATCTGATTTTTTTTCAGTGAGCTCAGGCTATACTACAGTAGAATCCCGGTAACTCGAACTCCCCCACTAACTCCTCCTTAAGTCCTACTTCCCATGATTTCAGCGGTGGATCCAGACCTCCAGATAAAGCGAGGGCCCGGTCATCCAGACCGTGACATAAGGAGCGGGGGGGGGGGGAAGCCGGTTTAAAAAAAAATTTTCTTCGGCCCTTCGGGCATCAGTTTGGTCTAAAAATACGGGGGGGCCAGGCCCCTCTGGCCCCTCCCCTGAATCCGCCACTGCATTTGACCCTCCTTTTCAGTCATTTTTACTTGGATTTGTTCTCAGTTACCTATTTTTTAACTAAATGTGATAAAAACCCAACTGTTATCTGTATACAGTTACGTACATCTAGGGGATCTTCCCAGAAAAGCTCAAGAGAGCTTGCTGTGATCCCTGGCCAGTAGAGTTATGACTTGTTACTGTAAGTGTTATAGTAAATTTTAATTGATACAATAAAGTTGCCTTTAATCTGATTACTCGAAATCCCCGCTAACTCAAACTTAACTTCATTTTCCGTCAATCAAAGTTTACCCCGATAACCCAAATTCTGGAGTTTGAACTTACCACGGACCGATGCAATCCCATTGGCTCCTTTTCGGTCATCTAATGGGTAAAAACAGTGAAAAGGCCGTTCTTTCTTGATTGACTAAAGATTAGGTAGAACGTTCTTCTTCGGGTGGATGAACGTAACAGATTCCGGTAGTGGATTTTTGGTATTTTTGCAAGCCGACCAATAAAAAACAAAGAGAACAATGCAACCGTCTGAACTTACCTGACCTCTCAAAAAAAAGCCCTTAGATTTAAGAGTATTATTGGTCCGTTTGCAAGAAACCTTGTTTTCAAAAACGTTGTGATTGGATAACCTTTTTCCAAGAACCACTATTCGAGTAGTTGCAGTGGTTGCACTGTTATTACCATGAAAAAATGAAATGAATTCTGCTTTTATGTTGTTTTAACATTCAATTATATGATGACACCATTTTGAAGCTGTCCTATTATACCTTAGACTGGCGATCAAGAATCCTTGCAGATTTTTTCATTCACCTTTTGAATTGCAAACTTTTATTCTACATTTCAGCCTAAAATATAGATAGGAAACATTCTGAACACTATATTTTGAATTTAAACAAGAGAGAGAAGAGCTTGATTTGAAGGTTTAAGTCGTAAAAGCCGATCAAATTCAACCTCGTCCCTAGGGTCTTCTCGTTTTCCAAGACTCTGGGGACGAGGTTGCTGTCCCAGGGTCTAAGCTTTCCTTTCGCTGTTACGTTGACATGGGCATCCCCGCGTTTTGGCCATCCCCATTCCTACGGGCACTCCCTTCTGCGGGCACTCCCTTCTCATATTACCTTAGCGATTTAGCTTAGGGTCAGGGTCAGGGTTATAGGGTATGCCCATATTACTAGGGTTTTGGATATGGGTATGCCCAAAACGCGGGAATGCCCACATCACAGTAACACCGCCGCCATATTGGAAAACGAGAAGACCCAGGGGACGAGGTTCGAGCAAATTTCACATGCAGCATATCCAGCATGCACCTCTCCGAAAACCGTATTTACTAATAAAGCGAGAAATTCCTTGTCTGCTCAAATCTGAGCATTTAGGGAAAAACAACAAGTTGAACATGGCTTACTGCCGTTTACTTTTGAGTCTGCTGTTTCTGATGCATTTGTTAAGCGTCACCAAGTCAAGCGTGATAACAAACAACTCGGCAGTCCGGCGCCATGACTCTGATTCTAAGTGTCCCGTATATAACACCTACTACAACAGTTATTTCAACACAGGATTGACTGACAAGAAAGTAGAAGCACTTCTTCATCGAGTACTGAAAGAATTAAGCGAAATGAGAGATGAGATAAGGTCTTCAAAAGGAAACAAAACCGCTGGTAAGTATTCAAAATATACAGCGCTTAAATCCGCCAATTATCCAAAAAATAGTATCCCCACAATTTAGAAAAAAAAAGAACAGAAAAGTTCTTTCATTTGCTTGGATTAATTTTACTTCACAGTATAAGAACAAAAAAGTTCTTAAGGTGTGCTATATTACACATTTATATTATACAGACTTCCGAGTCGTGCAGTCCCGAATACCAAAGAAAAGAAAAAGTCACGTTTTACTTTTAGTTATAAGAAACAACCTTGACCTTCGTGTCAGATAGCGGGGGATTAACATTTCAATGAAGCCTTTAAAGCCGGGGGTGCGAACAAACTCATTCGTATAATGCGCATCGTTACTGTGCACCTAAAGGATACATAACCGGCTCCCTCTCCGCTCCATCCTCGGAGACCCATGGGCAGTCAGTCGGGTCAGGAGAAAAGGCGGGACGAAAGTTTTCAAAATTTTGTCCCGCCTTTTTTCCCAACCCGACTTACTGCCCCTGGGTCTCCGAGGATGTCTCTCCTCCTCAGAGGCTCCCACTAGGTACAGTGGCAGATCCAGGGGAGGGGCTCGGAGAACCCGCCCCCCCCCCTTATTTTTAGACCAAACTGAGACCCGTAGGGCTGGAAACATTTTTTTTGGAGACGCCCCCCCTTATCGCAAGGTCTAGATCCTGCACTGGTGTATTCCAATGAAAATAGAAATAATGAAATAGTAAGGGCATGATGCATTTTCATTCCTCCCTCTCCTCAACCTCCCAACAACAGTTGGGAAAACTCTGGGGAGGAGAGGGATAGGAGTGGAGTAACCCAGAAGGGCAAAACGTGAAACTATATCGAAAAATAGTGGCTGAAAAAGACTATGCAAATATCTATCATATCTTTAAAGTTTACAAGAACTGTGCCGACCTCTACAAAGCTGGTAAACAGAAAAGTGGTGTCTATTCCATCGACCCCGACAACAACGGTGCCTTCGATGTGTACTGTGACCAAAAGACAGACGGTGGGGGGTGGACAGTGTTCCAAAAGAGACTGGACGGCTCGGTTGATTTCTACCGCGGCTGGGAAGACTACAAACGAGGCTTTGGGAATCTGAATGGTGAGTTTTGGCTCGGACTGGACAAGATTCATCGCCTGACAAAAGAACGAAACAGGCTTCATGTGGATCTTGAAGAGACGACTGGAAAAACAGCTTACGCTGAATACGACTTTTTTGGTGTTGCAAGTGAGAGAAGTAAATACAAGTTGAGTCTGGGAACATATTCGGGTAAATTGTGCTTTTACAAAAATCATTTCATAGTTCTATCATCGTACTTAATTTTCTTTCTTTTTTTTCTTCCTTTTTTCTTCTTTAACTACTTTTAATTCAATCAGCACTTCTTAGACCCTCTTCTTATTGCAATATCCATTCACTTCATTACCAACCTTCAAAACACAAACAAACAAGAAAGCAAAATCCGTTTTAAAAAGTTTCAAAGTTCATTTCTACGATGCCATGGGGCCTGAAACAACAAATCAATTCAAATTGTTGAAACATTGTCACTTGAGTTGGGGTAAAGAATTAGCTTTTGTGATACACATTATTCATTTCAAGTTTTAAGTCTTAAGTTTATTGTTAAGTTTGCCAGAACTAAATAGATTACCTAAACATGAAAAGCAAATTTCGAGGAAGTGCAAATAAGGAACTAATCAATAGTATGCCAAATTCGACCACCGAACCTAATCGAACTCAATCAAAGTTCGATTGGGTTCTATTACTAACATTTTTTGTGAGAGTTCGATTGTGTTCGATTATCGAATTTAACCGAACCTTATCGTTCCGGCATGTACACAGAACTTTCGACAAAAGTGACACTATCCCCTTGAATTTGAACATTTCTCCTTGCATGTTCATTCTATTGGAAGGAATCATTAGGTTCAATAGGGATCATTTAGTTGGGGAGTTTACCAGAAATTCCTCATTGCTAAACATGAAAGGTCATGAGTGGAACAGGAATTTAACTGGAATTTTCTGGCCAGAGTTACTTGATTCCGTCATTGGTATGGCTTAAAAGGCCTCTTTCCAATGTATAAGGTGTCAGAGTTGTCAACAACAGAACGTCAAAACTGATGACAACAAAAGTGGTACAAGGGACATTGTTCCACACGGGTATTGACTGGCGCCGGCTTGATATGTGAATGGGCTAATTTTATTTGAAACTGAAGAGCGGATAAATGTTATCAGAATATAATTGTAATGGTCGACCAGCTTCAAAAGTATGCACATGTTATGCCAACAACCTACCTCCCTCCCCTTTGAAAGTTAGCCTTTCACAGCCTATTGACAATTTGGTGTGCTCGCAAGCGAAGTAAGCGCGCGACAGCGAGAGCGGAGCGCGCTCCCCCGCCTTGTACATTTTCATACACACACGCTCGACGATTTTCGAAGACAAAACAGAGGGTCTGCGAACAGGCTAATGTAAAATCTTTTAGCTTCGTAGGCTGGAAGCCGCACTTATTTGAAGTCGAGTTCAACATATTGTCAGCGTGTTTCTTCTTTTTTTTCTGTCTGTTTGTTTGTTGCTGTTGTTTTTTGTTTTTTCATGTTTGGTAAACGTTCCAGCAGCTAACCTAGCTAATGACTCACCATGGCAAGTTTCACTTGCAACCTGAGAATTACACCCTCCCCCCAGGGCTGTAACGACGGGCATGCAGTAACTTCTAATCCTTCTTGTTTTTTGCCTAAGGAACTGCAGGTGACTCGCTCTCAGTTCATCGTGGAATGGCGTTCTCCACCAAAGATCGTGACAACGACCTTAGTTCCAGCAGCTGTGCCATACGCTCCAAGGGAGCTTGGTGGTATCAATCCTGTCTTGGTTCAAATTTAAACGGCCTCTATCATCACGGGAAACACTCTACGTCATGGGAGGGTGTCAACTGGAATAAGTGGAAAGGCGGCACCTACTCCGCTAAACGAGCTGAAATGAAAATCAAACCAGTAAACGCATAGAACTAACTTACTTTTGAGCTCCTCCGCTTAAATTGATCAAGAGATGGCTCTTGATTTGATTTAATCGATATAATACATGGACGCACATGATTAGTAGCTCAGCGAAGGGGTAAATTTTGATCACATTACTTAGTAAGTATTGTTATTCATTCAAAATGTTTCCCCGATTCTGACTGGCTTAAAGCGCACGTTTAATTCACCATAACCAGTTATTGATGACCAAATATTTGCGGAGCTGAAGAATCCTAAACGTGCACTATCGAAGATGAACTTAACATCGATGGATCGATGGAGGTAAGCATGTGTTAGCCATGTTTTTAAACTAGAAATTACAGGCGTATTTTGAATGAATAATAAAACAATTATTGAACTGGGCTTTCGTATCATATGAAGAATTATGGTGATCTCGGAGGGTGTTATCCGCCTCGGCCTACGGCCTCGACGGATAACACCCTCCTCGAACTCCATAATTCTTCATAAGATACTCAGCCTCATTCATTAATTGTTAAATTAGTAGACGATAAAACGTGAATAAATTGTAGGTAGGACTATCTATCTATTTATGCCACATAAAACATAGATTTCGGCAAGACTAAAAGCGGAGCTCCTACTCAATGCTAACATACTAACCATTTTAAGACACTGCAATGGAAATAAATACCTCTGATTAAAAAATGTAAGGGAAATGAAAGGAGCCCATAACACGGGTGAGCAACTACCGTACTAGACTCATATATTTTACAGTCTGTTTTTAGCATTTATTTTATATTACTTTTTCCCACGAAACTGGAATCTCCCCTCTGAACGCCAAAACTATACCATTTTTGGTCTGCACCTTTTTCTTATCAGTTTGTGGACATTTCCACAAAGTTTAGCGGTCGCCCCAATCTTCCAACTATCAGATATCACTGTATTCGAAGGACAGCATCGCATTCAGCATGTATGACTGGTTAAGTGTGATATTTCAGGTTAGCGTACATGATACAATGCCTACACTTGAGAAGAAAACTGAACTTTTAATGGTCAAAATTTATTAAACTAACAATTACCACGCCCTCTTTAGGCTCTAAATGAGCATGTCCTTGAATTACTCGACCGTTGACCATATGAAACGCCAACTTGAAAAGGCCGTTTCCGAGTTCCACAACCCTCATTCTGAAAACGAGGCTAGGTGCAAAACATTTCTTGTGATAATGATTTCATCTGTGTGAGAAAAAAAATCACTTTCCGTCCGAATAGCCTCGCACTTAGCCTCGCTTTGAAACGGAGGCTTTGAGCAACTCGAAAATGGCCTATTCTAGTTGTTGGAGAAAGGATGTTCTATTATAAACTAAGTGATTCCTGTTTCACTGAAATAGTTCTGCATGTACTGTAATACTGCTATCCTTAAATTGGCCTCCGCTGGTTTTCCGCAGATGCTGTATTTTGTTTTCTTATGAAAAGAGACGGGGCACAGTAAGAGATATCTAATTTCGCGCATGCACATTAAGTAGCTATAGATTGCTTATTACTCAGTTTCTTTCAATTAAGGGTAGGGTAAGAACAGCCCTTCAGATAGGAGATAGTCTGTTAGCAAAATAAGATTAAATTTGACCACGAGCATACAATGCAGCACGTTATATGACCAAGATTGTCTCCAAACTTGCAAATGAAAAACTATAGAAGGCTCTGGGCCTTTTTTGATGAAGTTAGGGGAAATTGGCGTAGGATTTCGAAGTTATTTCATTTTAAATTGTAAAATTAAGGTTTTAATGCGACATCCTAAGCGATTGTTGTAGAAGGCCTAAATGTAATAACATTTTGACTTGAACGTAATAAAATCCTAAATGTAATAACTTTTTACCCTAAATGTAATAAACTCTTAAGAGTGATAATATTAGGCCCTAAATGTTTTAGTTTCATCACTGACGTAAGTAACACGTCATTAAAGGCGGCGCTGTGTCATATGGCTGTCTGCTTCATTATGATAATGTTGTTAATTATCGTACTTACTCAAATAAGCACCGCCCCGATTAAGCGCCTCCCTCAAAAAGGGCCGCATTTGGGAGAAAAACGTTTATAAGCGCCGCCCCCGAATAAGCTCCGCGGCCTTAATATAATCTTAAAGAAGCTTACGTTAATACTGAAAGCAATAATACAGGGCACTCAAGGAAAATATAGTTCAAAACCACTTAAATATAGCATTGTTAAACGTATTTCGGTATTTAAATAGTAGATATAGGCATATTTTTTTATCCCTAAAAATTTTTCATCTGTTCGGCTTTCCTAGCTGAAAGTCTAGTGATCTGAAAATTATAGGGATCAAAACTTACCTTTTCGAACATTTCAGCCAGAAAAAAGGCTCCCGAAAATTCTAGGTGACCTTTATAGGGTAAAAATCTGTTAAAAATGGGCAGTTATACCATTTTTTAGATGTTCGAGTTTCCTAGGAGAGACAGGCAAGCAAGAAATTTTACAACATGTTCCGAAAATTCTAGATCACAAATCGTCTTCCGAACAGCTTTTTTCCGAAAATTGACATTGGGTGCCCCTGATCATATAGCCTCCCAGGCAGACGTTTTTAGGAGAGCTCGTTTTTCATCCCTCCCCTCTCAGTACGCTACTGATAATACAGTCGAACCCCGCTTTACGCATATCCGCTTAATACTGACACTTCGTTATAGGGGACAGTTTTCTTTATTCCTGGGAAAATCCCATTTACTTATTTTCTCTAAATTCAACCCGCTTAATGAGGATACCCGTTAATGCGGACAACGGACAATTGTTTCTTCCCCAATCAACAGATTTCCATAATGAGAAAGTCAACCTCGTTAATGCGGACACTTCTGATTATGCACTACTGTATGTACTGTATTAGACCTTTCCTTTGTGGAGGCAAAAAAACCTTCAGTTGACAGCTTGTCGATGTTCTCAGCGCTGCAGTATACCAAATAAGATGATTTGTAGATGTCAATTTCAGACCGTATTCTGGCATCCAACGACTATGCAGACAACTCGCGGTCTTGATTAAGTTACGTAATATATAGATGAAAAATTAGTATAGACAATAAAAAATTCTGGCTTTAAACAGACTGAGAGCAGTGTTCTCCTGTTACTCTAGTCAAATGTTAGTTAATCGCCCGGGTTCCGAGTCAGGTTGAACAAGGAAAGGTGGCGGGGGGGGGGCAACCTCCTTTTCTTCATCATTATGCCCACCCCACTGATCGCAACTCTGGAAATGGATCATGGCACCTCTCACTTAGGATTTGACTTCTAGCTATTTCTTGATCTTATTGGTGGGATGGAGAGAAGTGGGGTGCGAATAAACGTGGAAAATGCCTATTCCTACCTAACATCATGTAGCACATTCTAAATTTACCATACAACCAACCTAGTACGTTGTTTCGCACATAACGCAAAGGTGCTAAGATTAAAACGGGTGACTTGATGTGTACAATCATTTTCGTTTTCACTCAGCAGCTTTAGACTGTGCCAGGCTCTCTGTCACGATCAATCTGCACACTAACTGGAACATGCAGGCATGAACTCAGTCAGAATATGTGCTTAGCCACACCACACTAAAAGTCCTTTTCTTTCCCAACTTATTTCTCGTAACATTATACTGCAATGGTATGGTATGCATTTATTTATTATTAACGATGCCGTATCAAGGAAACAAAACTCAATGGGAAATAAAGCGCGGTCAATAATGTCCCAATAAAATAACAAACAGGACGAGAAATGTGATATTTGCCAAGTGTGGTTAAACAATAAAAAGCGTTTAAGAAGTTAAAACATTCATTGTCAACTCCACTACTTAATCTAACTTAATCTATAACCTTTATCAGTATTTTGCAGGTCTTTCTTCCAGTCTAGTAGTTTCCATCAGTAGCTTATGGGGTAGATTTAATGATAACGCTCCTCTCTGCTTCTCCCGCCCTTAAGAGGATTCAGCTGGAACCATTGATCTGTTCAGTCACAAGCGAAGTAGGCCTTTTGCAACACGGCTAGGGTCACAGGGTACAACTGATAGTTACGCTGACCAGAAAACAATGTAGTGAACCAAGGAGAGGATTGCATACATCGTGTAAAAAACTATTTTTTTGTTCAAGGACTGACCACCACACAGTTTGCTTACCAGAGTGGCTAAGTTTGTAGCATGTGACGGTTTTTTGATGACAGTTTGTTTATGACATGTACACTAAATGAATACATTTTACATTTTCAGTCTCTATTAAAATAGTGACTGAAAACTTAATAAAATTCCATGTCATAACAAAACTTGTCAAGCCTTCAGCCATTTTATACTAAAATAAGTCGCCAGATAAATGACCACAGTGATCAGAACCAGGATGCTCCGGATTTTCTTTTCGGGCAAGTTCCAGTTCATTAGGATCATTGTTGAAAACATCTTTAAATGAGAAAGAAAGAAGGAAGTGAATTCTCTGTCAGTAGTTGTTGAAAAATGACGACATCTTGAAAACAAACTTCGATAAACTTTGAAAAACTTCGATATTGATGTAGGGGTGTAATTCAGTCTTATCTAATTAAAAACGACCGAGACTCTTAACTTCTGGGTTTTCCTTTCATCTTTTGCGCACATTATTTCTGAATTCCAACCTAAAAATAGGTATCAATTAGGAACACTATACATATTTTGTGATCTGATTCTTTATCATAGCGTGCAACTTGCCGGAAACTGCTGAAACTGAGAGTGCACTGTGCAGTAATTAGTGATAAAGTGATAAATTCATCATCATTTAAGAACTGATTTTCAAGCGAGAAAGAACAAGCTGATCATGGTGTACCACCGTTTACCTTCGACTCTTCTGTCTGTGATAGCTTTATTGAGCGTTACCAAGTCGAATGGAACACCAAGCAAATCGGCAGTGCGCAGGCCAGATGCGGATTCTAAATGTCACTCCTATAGCACGAATTATAATTACTACTACAACAACACTTTAAATACAGGGTAGAACAAGAAAATGGAAGCACTGCTTCATCGAGTTCTAGATGAGTTAAGAGAGGTAAGAGAGTAAATCAAGCTCATTAAAGGAGACAAAACGATCGGTAAGTACAAGATATATTATTTGAATTACTTGGTGTTTTTTTATATCTGCTAAACTTAAAACAAGAAAAACAGCTCATCTTTAAGTCTCCCAGTTTCATTTGCTTGTTACAATAGACCCTCATAATACCTTAGAGTTTAAGTATATCCCTCGAAAAAAATGACTTTAAGATGAAAAACTGTGCTGTATAGTACAAAAAAGACTTGTAATCATGCAGCTGCGAATCGATACGAATGCCGAGCAAAACTGAAGAAGTTAGGTCTTATCTCAAAACTAAGTAAGAAGATACTAGTAATAGTTGACACTATAGCTGTCCCCGCTCTGTATATTGTCGGTCAATAGCATTCTTGCTCGTTGTGTAGCTCTTTGAAATATACCGATTCATAAGGAAGATTTTCACACATATTCTATACAATAGGTGAGATAAATACAGGAAACGCAAGGTTCCATGCTCAGTTTCAGGTCGATTTACACAGCTTTGATCAAAACATTCTCAGTTTCGAGAAACCATAACAAAAGATTTAATTAGAATTTGAATTTCTCGCTATTTCTCTTTCACTTTTTACATCCAGTACATTTCATTTGCCGGAAAGGTAGCCTTAGACATTAAAAGGACGTTTGATCAATTCACACTCGCGCATTCTAGTCTTATTTTAAAATTTTATAGCGGAAGCACCTCTGTGAGCAGGGAATAAGTCAGCACAGAATTTGATTGTCGGCGAATTTCTGTAATCGTCCATCGTTCTGCTAGTGAGAAGCTAGCCGTTGTTCACTCGTCTTGCTTGTTTGGGGCTGAGTCTTATTCCGGTCAAAGAGAGAGAATTAGTGTCTGGCAAGGTTTCAATGAAAGATTTGTGAACTCGTGTCTGGCAAACTCTCCAAGTGTTTATACATACACAGTTATAAGCACCTTATAACTTCTCCTGCGCTTAACGAGTGTTGTTAAAATTTTGGTCTATAACTTTCACTGAAACAACTGCTCCACAGAATGTCACTGATAACACGTAACGCAAAAGAGTGTCGAAGTATGACTGCACAATAAATGTCACAAAATCTACCTTAGCGGTCCCTTGGGGATGTTCTGTCTTTACGTCATCCTAACCATTTCGTACTTGCGGGCGCAAACAATAGAAACGTCATCATTACCCACCGATTCCTCGCGGCCCCTGTTCAAGCAAATCGAGATTTTTTCTATATTGACTGTATGACTGTATATTTCAGCTGTAAGTACTTTCCTTAATATACGCGCGAGTTACTAGAGTGCCTCCTCGGGATTTCGCCTTCTGGGCGAAATCCCTGCGGGGGCAACAATCTTGTCCTTCGTGTCAGTTATATTAGCGGGAGATCTTAATATTGCAATGGTTCGGGGGTGACAAAACACCTCCCGTTCGCGAAGCTCAGTCCTTATTCCGCACTTAAAGAGAACGAGGGGAACGACGCAAAAGCCTGTATAAGTTCTCATGGCTAATAAAAACATAAAGCTTTGATAGCCTGTCTTCTGAAAACGATTTCAACAACAACAACAACAACAACAACAAGTTTATTCAGTATTACCATTTTGTACAGGTGTTACCGATTAAAATAACAATAATAAACAGCTAAGTTTAAGGAAATACAGGTATGATGGAATAGTAGAATTAACTATGTTTCTTTCGTCTTTCAAATGCTTGAAAGATGAAATTAGCAGCTAGCCTGCTGATATGTGAATCAGTATTGTTAAAAAGAAAACAGACTTTATCATGGATATTGTAGTGTGTAAATAATGTATTTCGGTCGTTGATTTTAATAAAAAGAGTCTTTCTCAAATCATTGTATTGATCACAGTGAAATAATATGTGCAGTTCATTTTCAACCGAATTTTGGCTGCAATGATCACAAATTCTAAGGTCTTCAGGAGTTTTGGGGATTGTAAATCTTCCAGTTTCTATTTTTAAATTATGATTTTCTATCCTAAATTTGGAAGCTACACGCCTATGTTCAGGATTCCGGATATGATTGATGAATTCAGAGTGATTTGTTTCATTTTTAAAGATGGAGTAGAATTTTAGTTTTTTATTTGTTCTTATCAAATTTAGCTGGTGGTTTTTCAGATGTTTTGACAAAGTATTCTCAACTTTGGATAGGAAAGTAGAAGGGTTTTTAAAGTTAACTGACTGTTTGTGAATATTAAGTTGTGTACTCAAAAGATTTATTTTATTTATTAGACCTGATTTATTTTCTTCGGCCATTTTATCCGATATGTTTAAGCAGAGTTTAGCGATGCTGTCAGGGGTTGATTTTCAAGGTGAATCCAAAATTTGAAAATGTTCATTGTTATTTGTAAATTTAGAGATAATCTACCAAGCTCATTTCTCGATGCAACATTCGATGAACGTTTGTTTAAACCTAAACACATCTTACAAAAAAATGTATATGCGTTTTCTCAATCAAGTCTTTATCCCAGCGGCTATAATCACTTTTATCATAGATTCCCCAAACTTCAGAGCAATACGTTAAAATTGGGAAAAATAGTGTATTGAACAGTTTGTTGATGATGTGAATTGGTAATTTTAGAAAATCTAGATAACGACGAGCGGCAAAAAGGATCTCTTTGTTTTTTTCTGTTAAGTTTTCCTTGTGATTTGTAAAATTTCCATTGGCTGAAAATTTCACTCCAAGATAGGTATAGTTATTGACGATTTCAATGTTTTCATTGCTAACCATAAAATTGTGTTTATCTATTGCTGATTTTCTACTTTTCTTTTGAAATACAATAACTTTGGTTTTAGTTGGATTAATCTTAAGAAGCCAATCCTGACAATATTTTGATAGTCTGTCAAGACTTTGTTGCAAACCTTCTGCCGAGGTAGATATTAGAAGTAAGTCATCGGCATAAAGTAGACAGTTGAAGTGAGAACCATCTGGTAGTAAGATAGAATCTTTAGCATTGTTATTTAGAATGAGGGGTAGTTCGTTTAGATAAAGGTTAAATAGAAGCGGCGACAGAATACAGCCTTGTCGTACATCTTTATCATAGTTGAAAAATTCTGATCGAGTATAATTGTCTTTCACACAACATATTGAATTTGAATACATGCTGGAAATTATTTTGTAAAAGGAGCCACCTATGTTATATTTCAACAGTTTGTATAGTAAACCTTGGTGCCAAATTGAGTCAAATGCCTTTTTAAAATCAACAAAACAAGTATAAAGTTTACCTCTGGGGGAGTGGGTAACATGTTGGTCTATTAATGTTCTTAAACTAAAGATATGTTCGGACGCACGATGTCCGGGCACAAAGCCAATTTGGGAGCGATGAAGTATTTTATGATTGTTTGAAAAGTTTAATAATCTCGTATTTAAAATAGAACAAAAGACTTTGCCAAGACAACTATTAATGCAAATACCTCTGTAATTTGAAGGGTCATCTTTGTTTCCAGATTTATGCAAGGCAGTGATTATTCCATTACTCCATGATGTAGGAAGTGTTCCAGATTGTAGAATCAGATTAAAAAGTTTCTCAAGTGGATATTTTATAAAGCTTGAGCTTGTTTTAATCATTTCATTTTTTGTTTTTTCATGTTTGGTAAACGTTCCAGCAGCTAACCTAGCTAATGACTCACCATGGCAAGTTTCACTTGCAACCTGAGAATTACACCCTCCCCCCAGGGCTGTAACGACGGGCATGCAGTAACTTCTAATCCTTCTTGTTTTTTGCCTAAGGAACTGCAGGTGACTCGCTCTCAGTTCATCGTGGAATGGCGTTCTCCACCAAAGATCGTGACAACGACCTTAGTTCCAGCAGCTGTGCCATACGCTCCAAGGGAGCTTGGTGGTATCAATCCTGTCTTGGTTCAAATTTAAACGGCCTCTATCATCACGGGAAACACTCTACGTCATGGGAGGGTGTCAACTGGAATAAGTGGAAAGGCGGCACCTACTCCGCTAAACGAGCTGAAATGAAAATCAAACCAGTAAACGCATAGAACTAACTTACTTTTGAGCTCCTCCGCTTAAATTGATCAAGAGATGGCTCTTGATTTGATTTAATCGATATAATACATGGACGCACATGATTAGTAGCTCAGCGAAGGGGTAAATTTTGATCACATTACTTAGTAAGTATTGTTATTCATTCAAAATGTTTCCCCGATTCTGACTGGCTTAAAGCGCACGTTTAATTCACCATAACCAGTTATTGATGACCAAATATTTGCGGAGCTGAAGAATCCTAAACGTGCACTATCGAAGATGAACTTAACATCGATGGATCGATGGAGGTAAGCATGTGTTAGCCATGTTTTTAAACTAGAAATTACAGGCGTATTTTGAATGAATAATAAAACAATTATTGAACTGGGCTTTCGTATCATATGAAGAATTATGGTGATCTCGGAGGGTGTTATCCGCCTCGGCCTACGGCCTCGACGGATAACACCCTCCTCGAACTCCATAATTCTTCATAAGATACTCAGCCTCATTCATTAATTGTTAAATTAGTAGACGATAAAACGTGAATAAATTGTAGGTAGGACTATCTATCTATTTATGCCACATAAAACATAGATTTCGGCAAGACTAAAAGCGGAGCTCCTACTCAATGCTAACATACTAACCATTTTAAGACACTGCAATGGAAATAAATACCTCTGATTAAAAAAAATGTAAGGGAAATGAAAGGAGCCCATAACACGGGTGAGCAACTACCGTACTAGACTCATATATTTTACAGTCTGTTTTTAGCATTTATTTTATATTACTTTTTTCCCACGAAACTGGAATCTCCCTCTGAACGCCAAAACTATACCATTTTTGGTCTGCACCTTTTTCTTATCAGTTTGTGGACATTTCCACAAAGTTTAGCGGTCGCCCCAATCTTCCAACTATCAGATATCACTGTATTCGAAGGACAGCATCGCATTCAGCATGTATGACTGGTTAAGTGTGATATTTCAGGTTAGCGTACATGATACAATGCCTACACTTGAGAAGAAAACTGAACTTTTAATGGTCAAAATTTATTAAACTAACAATTACCACGCCCTCTTTAGGCTCTAAATGAGCATGTCCTTGAATTACTCGACCGTTGACCATATGAAACGCCAACTTGAAAAGGCCGTTTCCGAGTTCCACAACCCTCATTCTGAAAACGAGGCTAGGTGCAAAACATTTCTTGTGATAATGATTTCATCTGTGTGAGAAAAAAAATCACTTTCCGTCCGAATAGCCTCGCACTTAGCCTCGCTTTGAAACGGAGGCTTTGAGCAACTCGAAAATGGCCTATTCTAGTTGTTGGAGAAAGGATGTTCTATTATAAACTAAGTGATTCCTGTTTCACTGAAATAGTTCTGCATGTACTGTAATACTGCTATCCTTAAATTGGCCTCCGCTGGTTTTCCGCAGATGCTGTATTTTGTTTTCTTATGAAAAGAGACGGGGCACAGTAAGAGATATCTAATTTCGCGCATGCACATTAAGTAGCTATAGATTGCTTATTACTCAGTTTCTTTCAATTAAGGGTAGGGTAAGAACAGCCCTTCAGATAGGAGATAGTCTGTTAGCAAAATAAGATTAAATTTGACCACGAGCATACAATGCAGCACGTTATATGACCAAGATTGTCTCCAAACTTGCAAATGAAAAACTATAGAAGGCTCTGGGCCTTTTTTGATGAAGTTAGGGGAAATTGGCGTAGGATTTCGAAGTTATTTCATTTTAAATTGTAAAATTAAGGTTTTAATGCGACATCCTAAGCGATTGTTGTAGAAGGCCTAAATGTAATAACATTTTGACTTGAACGTAATAAAATCCTAAATGTAATAACTTTTTACCCTAAATGTAATAAACTCTTAAGAGTGATAATATTAGGCCCTAAATGTTTTAGTTTCATCACTGACGTAAGTAACACGTCATTAAAGGCGGCGCTGTGTCATATGGCTGTCTGCTTCATTATGATAATGTTGTTAATTATCGTACTTACTCAAATAAGCACCGCCCCCGATTAAGCGCCTCCCTCAAAAAGGGCCGCATTTGGGAGAAAAACGTTTATAAGCGCCGCCCCCGAATAAGCTCCGCGGCCTTAATATAATCTTAAAGAAGCTTACGTTAATACTGAAAGCAATAATACAGGGGCACTCAAGGAAAATATAGTTCAAAACCACTTAAATATAGCATTGTTAAACGTATTTCGGTATTTAAATAGTAGATATAGGCATATTTTTTATCCCCTAAAAATTTTTCATCTGTTCGGCTTTCCTAGCTGAAAGTCTAGTGATCTGAAAATTATAGGGATCAAAACTTACCTTTTCGAACATTTCAGCCAGAAAAAAGGCTCCCGAAAATTCTAGGTGACCTTTATAGGGTAAAAATCTGTTAAAAATGGGCAGTTATACCATTTTTTAGATGTTCGAATTTCCTAGGACAGACAGGCAAGCAAGAAATTTTACAACATGTTCCGAAAATTCTAGACCTCAAATCGTCTTCCGAACAGCTTTTCTCCGAAAATTGACATTGGGTGCCCCTGTTAATATAGCCTCAAAGGCAGACGTTTTTAGGGGAGCTCGTTTTTCATCCCTCCCCTGTCAGTAGGCTACTGATAATACAGTCGAACCCCGCTTTACGCATATCCGCTTAATACTGACACTTCGTTATAGGGGACAGTTTTCTTTATTCCTGGGAAAATCTCATTTACTTATTTTCTCTAAATTCAACCCGCTTAATAAGGATACCCGTTAATGCGGACAACGGACACTTGTTTCTTCCCCAATCAACAGATTTCCATAATGAGAAAGTCAACCTCGCTAATGCGGACACTTCTAATTATGCACTACTGTATGTACTGTATTAGACCTTTCCTTTGTGGAGGCAAAAAAACCTTCAGTTGACAGCTTGTCGATGTTCTCAGCGCTGCAGTATACCAAATAAGATGATTTGTAGATGTCAATTTCAGACCGTATTCTGGCATCAAACGACTATGCAGACAACGCGCGGTCTTGATTAAGTTACGTGATATATAGATGAAAAATTAGTTTAGACAATAAAAATTCTGGCTTTAAACAGACTGAGAGCAGTGTTCTCCTGTTACTCTAGTCAAATATTAGTTAATCGCCCGGGTTCCTAGTCAGGTTGAACAAGGAAAGGTGGCGGGGGAGGCAACCTCCTTTTCTTCATCATTATGCCCACCCCACTGATCGCAACTCTGGAAATGAATCACGGCACCTCTCACTTAGGATTTGACTTCTAGCTATTTCTTGATCTTATTGGTGGGATGGAGAGAAGTGGGGTGCGAATAAAGGTGGAAAACGCCCATTCCTACCTAACATCATGTAGCATATTCTAAATTTACCATACAACCAACCTAGTACGTTGTTTCGCACGTAACGCAAAAGTACTAAGATTAAAACGGGTCAGTTGATGTGTACAATCATTTTCGTTTTCACTCAGCAGCTTTAGACTGTGCCAGGCTCTCAGTCACGATCAATCTGCACACTAACTGGAACAGGCATGAACTCAGTCAGAATATGTGCTCAGCCACACCACACTAAAAGTCCTTTTCTTTCCTAACTTATTTCTCGTAACATTATACTGCAATGGTATGGCATGCATTTATTCATTATTAACGATGCCGTATCAAGGAAACAAGACTCAATGGGAAATAAAGCGCGGTCAATAATGTCCCAATAAAATAACAAACAGGACGAGAAATGTGATATTTGCCAAGTGTGGTTAAACAATAAAAAGCGTTTAAGAAGTTAAAACATTCATTGTCAACTCCACTACTTAATCTAACTTAATCTATAACCTTTATCAGTATTTTGCAGGTCTTTCTTCCAGTCTAGTAGTTTCCATCAGTAGCTTATGGGGTAGATTTAATGATAACGCTCCTCTCTGCTTCTCCCGCCCTTAAGAGGATTCAGCTGGAACCATTGATCTGTTCAGTCACAAGCGAAGTAGGCCTTTTGCAACACGGCTAGGGTCACAGGGTACAACTGATAGTTACGCTGACCAGAAAACAATGTAGTGAACCAAGGAGAGGATTGCATACATCGTGTAAAAAACTATTTTTTTGTTCAAGGACTGACCACCACACAGTTTGCTTACCAGAGTGGCTAAGTTTGTAGCATGTGACGGTTTGTTGATGACAGTTTGTTTATGACATGTACACTAAATGAATACATTTTTACATTTTCAGTCTCTATTAAAATAGTGACTGAAAACTTAATAAAATTCCATGTCATAACAAAACTTGTCAAGCCTTCAGCCATTTTATACTAAAATAAGTCGCCAGATAAATGACCACAGTGATCAGAACCAGGATGCTCCGGATTTTCTTTCTCGGGCAAGTTCCAGTTCATTAGGATCATTGTTGAAAACATCTTTAAATGAGAAAGAAAGAAGGAAGTGAATTCTCTGTCAGTAGTTGTTGAAAAATGACGACATCTTGAAAACAAACTTCGATAAACTTTGAAAAACTTCGATATTGATGTAGGGGTGTAATTCAGTCTTATCTAATTAAAAACGATCGAGACTCTTAACTTCTGGGTTTTCTTTTCATCTTTTGCGCACATTATTTCTGAATTCCAACCTAAAAATAGGTATCAATTAGGAACACTATACATATTTTGTGATCTGATTCTTTATCATAGCGTGCAACTTGCCGGAAACTGCTGAAACTGAGAGTGCACTGTGCAGTAATTAGTGATAAAGTGATAAATTCATCATCATTTAAGAACTGATCATGGTGTACCACCGTTTACCTTCGACTCTTCTGTCTGTGATAGCTTTATTGAGCGTTACCAAGTCGAATGGAACACCAAGCAAATCGGCAGTGCGCAGGCCAGATGCGGATTCTAAATGTCACTCCTATAGCACGAATTATAATTACTACTACAACAACACTTTAAATACAGGGTAGAACAAGAAAATGGAAGCACTGCTTCATCGAGTTCTAGATGAGTTAAGAGAGGTAAGAGAGTAAATCAAGCTCATTAAAGGAGACAAAACGATCGGTAAGTACAAAATATATTATTTGAATTACTTGGTGCTTATTTATATCTGCTAAACTTAAAACAAGAAAAACAACTCATCTTTAAGTCTCCCAGTTTCATTTGCGTGTTACAATAGACCCTCATAATACCTTAGCGTTTAAGTATATCCCTCCAAAAAAGTGACTTTAAGATGAAAAACTGTGCTGTATAGTATAAAAAAGACTTGTAATCATAGCTGCGAATCGATACGAATGCCGAGCAAAACTGAAGAAGTCACGTCTTGTCTCAAAACTAAGTAATAAGATACTAGTAATAGTTGACACTATAGCTGTCCCCGCTCTGTATATTGTCGGTCAATAGCATTCTTGCTCGTTGTGTAGCTCTTTGAAATATACCGATTCATAAGGAAGATTTTCACACATATTCTATACAATAGGTGAGATAAATACAGGAAACGCAAGGTTCCATGCTCAGTTTCAGGTCGATTTACACAGCTTTGATCAAAACATTCTCAGTTTCGAGAAACCATAACAAAAGATTTAATTAGAATTTGAATTTCTCGCTATTTCTCTTTCACTTTTTACATCCAGTACATTTCATTTGCCGGAAAGGTAGCCTTAGACATTAAAAGGACGTTTGATCAATTCACACTCGCGCATTCTAGTCTTATTTTAAAATTTTATAGCGGAAGCACCTCTGTGAGCAGGGAATAAGTCAGCACAGAATTTGATTGTCGGCGAATTTCTGTAATCGTCCATCGTTCTGCTAGTGAGAAGCTAGCCGTTGTTCACTCGTCTTGCTTGTTTGGGGCTGAGTCTTATTCCGGTCAAAGAGAGAGAATTAGTGTCTGGCAAGGTTTCCAATGAAAGATTTGTGAACTCGTGTCTGGCAAACTCTCCAAGTGTTTATACATACACAGTTATAAGCACCTTATAACTTCTCCTGCGCTTAACGAGTGTTGTTAAAATTTTGGTCTATAACTTTCACTGAAACAACTGCTCCACAGAATGTCACTGATAACACGTAACGCAAAAGAGTGTCGAAGTATGACTGCACAATAAATGTCACAAAATCTACCTTAGCGGTCCCTTGGGGATGTTCTGTCTTTACGTCATCCTAACCATTTCGTACTTGCGGGCGCAAACAATAGAAACGTCATCATTACCCACCGATTCCTCGCGGCCCCTGTTCAAGCAAATCGAGATTTTTTCTATATTGACTGTATGACTGTATATTTCAGCTGTAAGTACTTTCCTTAATATACGCGCGAGTTACTAGAGTGCCTCCTCGGGATTTCGCCTTCTGGGCGAAATCCCTGCGGGGGCAACAATCTTGTCCTTCGTGTCAGTTATATTAGCGGGAGATCTTAATATTGCAATGGTTCGGGGGTGACAAAACACCTCCCGTTCGCGAAGCTCAGTCCTTATTCCGCACTTAAAGAGAACGAGGGGAACGACGCAAAAGCCTGTATAAGTTCTCATGGCTAATAAAAACATAAAGCTTTGATAGCCTGTCTTCTGAAAACGATTTCAACAACAACAACAACAACAACAACAAGTTTATTCAGTATTACCATTTTGTACAGGTGTTACCGATTAAAATAACAATAATAAACAGCTAAGTTTAAGGAAATACAGGTATGATGGAATAGTAGAATTAACTATGTTTCTTTCGTCTTTCAAATGCTTGAAAGATGAAATTAGCAACTAACCTGCTGATATGTGAATCAGTATTGTTAAAAAGAAAACAGACTTTATCATGGATATTGTAGTGTGTAAATAATGTATTTCGGTCGTTGATTTTAATAAAAAAAGAGTCTTTCTCAAATCATTGTATTGATCACAGTGAAATAATATGTGCAGTTCATTTTCAACCGAATTTTGGCTGCAATGATCACAAATTCTAAGGTCTTCAGGAGTTTTGGGGATTGTAAATCTTCCAGTTTCTATTTTTAAATTATGATTTTCTATCCTAAATTTGGAAGCTACACGCCTATGTTCAGGATTCCGGATATGATTGATGAATTCAGAGTGATTTGTTTCATTTTTAAAGATGGAGTAGAATTTTAGTTTTTTATTTGTTCTTATCAAATTTAGCTGGTGGTTTTTCAGATGTTTTGACAAAGTATTCTCAACTTTGGATAGGAAAGTAGAAGGGTTTTTAAAGTTAACTGACTGTTTGTGAATATTAAGTTGTGTACTCAAAAGATTTATTTTATTTATTAGACCTGATTTATTTTCTTCGGCCATTTTATCCGATATGTTTAAGCAGAGTTTAGCGATGCTGTCAGGGGGTTGATTTTCAAGGTGAATCCAAAATTTGAAAATGTTCATTGTTATTTGTAAATTTAGAGATAATCTACCAAGCTCATTTCTCGATGCAACATTCGATGAACGTTTGTTTAAACCTAAACACATCTTACAAAAATGTATATGCGTTTTCTCAATCAAGTCTTTATCCCAGCGGCTATAATCACTTTTATCATAGATTCCCCAAACTTCAGAGCAATACGTTAAAATTGGGAAAAATAGTGTATTGAACAGTTTGTTGATGATGTGAATTGGTAATTTTAGAAAATCTAGATAACGACGAGCGGCAAAAAAGGATCTCTTTGTTTTTTCTGTTAAGTTTTCCTTGTGATTTGTAAAATTTCCATTGGCTGAAAATTTCACTCCAAGATAGGTATAGTTATTGACGATTTCAATGTTTTCATTGCTAACCATAAAATTGTGTTTATCTATTGCTGATTTTCTACTTTTCTTTTGAAATACAATAACTTTGGTTTTAGTTGGATTAATCTTAAGAAGCCAATCCTGACAATATTTTGATAGTCTGTCAAGACTTTGTTGCAAACCTTCTGCCGAGGTAGATATTAGAAGTAAGTCATCGGCATAAAGTAGACAGTTGAAGTGAGAACCATCTGGTAGTAAGATAGAATCTTTAGCATTGTTATTTAGAATGAGGGTAGTTCGTTTAGATAAAGGTTAAATAGAAGCGGCGACAGAATACAGCCTTGTCGTACATCTTTATCATAGTTGAAAAATTCTGATCGAGTATAATTGTCTTTCACACAACATATTGAATTTGAATACATGCTGGAAATTATTTTGTAAAAGGAGCCACCTATGTTATATTTCAACAGTTTGTATAGTAAACCTTGGTGCCAAATTGAGTCAAATGCCTTTTTAAAATCAACAAAACAAGTATAAAGTTTACCTCTGGGGAGTGGGTAACATGTTGGTCTATTAATGTTCTTAAACTAAAGATATGTTCGGACGCACGATGTCCGGGCACAAAAGCCAATTTGGGAGCGATGAAGTATTTTATGATTGTTTGAAAAGTTTAATAATCTCGTATTTAAAATAGAACAAAAGACTTTGCCAAGACAACTATTAATGCAAATACCTCTGTAATTTGAAGGGTCATCTTTGTTTCCAGATTTATGCAAGGCAGTGATTATTCCATTACTCCATGATGTAGGAAGTGTTCCAGATTGTAGAATCAGATTAAAAAGTTTCTCAAGTGGATATTTTATAAAGCTTGAGCTTGTTTTAATCATTTCATTGCGTATTCCATCAAGTCCAGCGGCCTTCTTGTTTTTTAGTTTTTTAATTGCTTTATCAATCTCTTCAATGGATATTGGGTTGTCTAATTCCGATTGTAAATGGTTGCTGTCCTCCAAACGCTTTTTATCGTTTAACATGTGTATTTGAAATGCCGATAATGTATTAGGATCAGGTGCTGAGTGTAGCATTTTAAAATGATCATAAAGTTTATTGGTCGGGTTTTCGTTATTATTATAAGACAAGATGTTTTCGTTCATTGACTTTAGAGTATCCCAAAATTTGCGGTTATTTTCGTTACTAATCAGCTCATTTATTTTAGAGTCAACAAATTGTTGTTTTTTTTGTTTTATAAGTTTTTTAAAGGTTTTATTTTGAACATGATATTCTTTTCTGAGTTCGGTATCCAGAGGATTGCGGTGTTTTTTGTTAGATAACTTTTTAAGTGAAGATCTTAACGTTTTGCAATCATAATCAAACCACTTCTTAGTAATTGGCTTTCTTTTAGATTTCTTTTGGCTACTTAATTTGAGTGAACGTTTTGCGGCCTCAGTCATAATTTCAATTAACGACTTCATCCTTGGCAGTTTACAAGAACTGTGCTGGACTCTACAAAGCTGGTAAACGGAACAGCGGTGTCTGTACAATCAACCCCGACAACACAGGTGCCTTCGATGTGTATTGTGACCAAACGACAGCCGGTGGGGGGTGGACAGTGTTCCAGAAGAGACTGGACGGCTCGGTTGATTTCTACCGCGGCTGGGAAGACTACAAACGAGGCTTTGGAAATCTGAATGGTGAGTTTTGGCTCGGACTCGACAAGATTAATCGCCTGACAAAACAACGTAGCAGGCTTCATGTGGATCTTGAAGACACGACTGAAAAAACAGCTTACGCTGACTACGACTTTTTTGGTGTTGCAAGTGAGAGAAGCAAATACAAGCTGAGTCTTGAAACATATTCGGGTAAGTTGTTTTAAGGTGGCTCTTACAAAAAACATAGCACCGTAATGAAAACATAAATTAGAAAAAGAAATCACAACTACCGTTAATTCAATCAACACCTCTTGAGAACACGGATAGGCAAGTAATTCATGGCAGTGAATTACTTGCCACATGATCATGATAGGAAAAAACTGGCCTAGCCCCAGGCCTCATTATGCCGCGCGGCCAAAGTGTTACGGGTCACGTGGTTCAAGGCAAGGAGAAAAACGTCTAAGTCTGAATACGATTTTTTGTTGTTGCAAGTGAGAGAAGTAAATACAGCGATTATTCTTATTAAGTAGGTTTGTTAAAGGAGTTCCATTTTTCAAAGGAATGTATACGAACGAGGTTCCTTTTCTGTCATAAGAATTATTTAAAAGGGTAAGGGGTTGGACCTCGGGGCCGAGCCTCCCCGTAGAAAACATCAAGGAGTTTAAGCAAAGGCGCTTTTCTGCGACACATGTCAACCGAAATTGAGGCCTTGTCCTTGTTTGTATGCCTTGACGAATTGCCTGGACGTTACCAACTTTGTATTGCAAATGTGTAAGTGCCACTCTTCTTACAGGGACGACTTGCCGGAACATTTGGGCAAAACCACTGAACAAGAACTCAAAAAAGTCCACTTTGGGTTGACGTGTGCTAATTAAAAACGTTTTTGCTTGAGCTGATCGTAATGCTGATCCCTACTGTTGGGTAGCCCTGGAGCCCGACCGCAGGGGCATGTGGTTTTAACAAAGACATATCATCGTTTTTGTTTCAATTCGCGTGCGTGACTTTCCGCGGAGAGACTTCAACGGAAATGGACATAAAAAAACTATCAATGTTTTTGTCAAAAACGAAACGGCAGCAATTTTCCGTGTTCTGTATTCTTATGGCCCATAGAAATGACGTCGACGACAAAATGTACAAAACTTTATTTCCATTGGAGTTTTGAACATTCTGGTGTCCTTTCTGTGGTTGGATATAAGAGTACAAACCTACAGACCATGGGCAATTCTTGTCGATATGTTAATCATGAAAATACTTTCTCGAACTACCATAGTTTGAAATAAGCATTTCGTATAATTTCTGGTTTTGTGTCGTTCTTATTGTTAATTGCCCTTGGCAAATAACCCCTTGTAAACGTTACTTTCAGGAACTGATGCATATTAAGCAGCATACGAAACGTGACGTTTATCAAAAAATGCATTTAACCAGAGCTTGTTTTATATACTGCTGTTTGTGGTGAGGTTGTGGGGTAGCTGTTTACGAATAGTCCTACCTAGAAATGAAATAATTGAAGTGTCTCTGCTTGTAATACTTCATCAATGGAATATTTTTTCTTTAGGTACTGCCGGTGACTCGCTTTCATATCATCGTGGCATGGCTTTTACCACCAAAGATCGTGACAACGACCCTGACTCCAGAAATTGTGCCACAATGTACAAGGGAGCCTGGTGGTTTAAAAGCTGCCTCTATTCAGACTTGAATGGTCTCTATCTCCACGGGCAGCACTCTGAAGCATTGGAAGGCGTCAACTGGTATCATTGGAAGAGCCACAGATACTCCGCTAGACGAGCTGAGATGAAAATCAAACCAGTTGATACCTAGAGCTAACCCTTTATCGTTCTATTTTCTGCTGTGATATAATCGATACGATGTACGCATATTTCTTCGGTTAATTTTCCCTTGCATGAAGATATTTTGTACTTCGCTCGCCAAATAACTTCTCTAATAACCACTATCATTATTCATTCAAAAGATTTTTCCGTTTCTGATTGCCTAAGATCCCACGCGTAATTCATCATAATCAGCTATTGTCGACCAAATATGGAAGAATTTTGCGATATGTGAAAATGACGTCAAAAGTACAGCAAAATTGCCAGATTATTGAACCGTTAACCGAGAAGACCTTGGGACGAGGTCAAGTTTGTTTGGTTTTGACGAAATAGGGCAACTTTTCACTCGTTTCAAGGGTAAGAAAAACGCGAACTATTTTCTAAGTAACATAGCAAGAACAGCAAGAAGACAACTCGACGGACGACATCTGCTGTTTAGAGTATATTCGCAGACCTGAACAATCCTTTATCTCCTAAACTTGCCGATAAACATGCGTTATCGCAGATGAACTTAATATCGACGGAAGTAAGCATGTTTTAGCTTGTTTCTAAAGTAGGAAAGCTTAGGGATAATTTTGAATGAATAATACAACAATTGTTTACTCGGCTTTCGTATTGCCTGAAGAATTATGGAAATCTCGGAGGGTGTTATCCGCCGAGGCAGTATTCCTCGATCTCTATAATTCTTCAGATGATACTCACCCTCATTCAATAATTGTTAATTATATGGCAATAATACTTTTATTAACTGAATTCTTAAGGCAAAAAAGCCCTTCGCATCTAATCATTCACTGGGATGAATTTAAGGCAAAAAGGCTTACATCATAAAATGGCCATTCCTTTCCTTGCTTTCCAGTATGGCGTTTTTCAGTGTAACACTGGAATGATTAGCTGCAAAGGGCCTAAAGGAACACTCTGATTGGCTGTATAAACGGATCAAATTCAACCTTGTCCCTAGGGTCTTCTCGTTTTCCAAGACCCTGGAGACGAGGTTGGTGTCCCAGGGTCTAAGCTTTCCTTTCGCTGTTACGTTGACATGGGCATCCCCGCGTTTTGGCCATCCCCATTCCCACGGGCATCCCCTTCTCATATTACCTTAACGATTTGGCTTAGGGTTACGGTCGGGGTTATAGGGGATGCCCATATCACTAGGGTTTTGGATATGGGTATGCCCAAAACGCGGGGATGCCCACATCACAGTGACACCGCCGCCATATTGAGAATAGAGAAGACCCAGGGGACGAGGTTCGAGCAAATTTCACATGCAGCATACCCAGCATGCACCTTTCCGAAAACCGCTGTCAAAACGGAGAGTGTATACTGTGCAGTATTTACTAATAAAGCGATAAATTCCTCATTCGCTCAAATCTGAGCATCTAGGGAAAAAGAACAAGTTGAACATGGTTTACTGCCGTTTACTTTTGAGTCTGCTGTTTCTGACGCATTTGTTTAGCGTCACCAAGTCAAGCGTGATACCAAACAACTCAGCAGTCCGGCGCCCTAACGCTGTTTCCAAGTGTCCTGTATATAACACCTACTACAACAGTCATTTCAACACAGGATCGACCGACAAGAAAGCGGAAGCACTTCTCCATCGAGTACTGAAAGAATTAAGCGAAATGAGAGATGAGATCAGGTCTTCAAAAGGAAACAAAACGGCTGGTAAGTATCCAAAGTATACAGCGCTTAAATCCGTCAATAATCCAAAAAATAGTATCTCCAAAAGATTTAGAAAAGTTGCTTCATTTGTTTGACTTAATTGTTCCTCGGCATAGTAAATGAATAAGTATAAAAGAGTGCTTTTGATTGGAAAGACTGTTCTTATACGAAGACGAGTTATACAGATTTCCGAGTCGTGCAGTCCCGAATACCGAAGAAAACAAAAAGTCACGTTTTACTTTTAGTTATAAGAAACAACCTTGACCTTGGTGTCAGATAGCGGGGGATTAACATTTCAATGAAGCCTTTAAATCCAGAGGTGCGAACAAACTCCCCGTCCGCGTAAATTCGTATAATGCGCATCGTTACTGCACAAATAAAGGGTACATAAGAGGCTCTCTCTCCTCCTCAGAGGCACCCACTGGGTACAGTGGCGGATTCAGGGGAGGGGCCCAGGGGACCCAGCGTCCCTTTATTTTTAGAGCACTGACTGAGGCCCGAAGGGTTGAAAACATTTTTGGAGACCGCCAACGTCTGGATCCGGTACTGGGGTATTTATATGAAAATAGAAATAATGAAAAAAATAATAGTAAGGGCATGGTGAATTTTCATCCTTCCCTCTCTTCAACCTCCCAACGACAGTTGTTAAAACTCTGGGGAGGAGAAGGATAGGAGGGGAACAACCCAAAAGAGCAAAACGTGAGAGTACGTCGAAAAATAGTGGCTGAAAAAAAGCTATGCAAATATTTATCATATCTTTAAAGTTTACAAGAATTGTGCCGAACTCTACAAAGCTGGTAATCAGAAAAGCGGTGTCTATTCCGTCGACCCCGACAACACAGGTGCCTTCGATGTGTACTGTGACCAAACAACAGACGGTGGGGGGTGGGTAGTGTTCCAGAAGAGACTGGACGGCTCGCTTGATTTCTACCGCGGCTGGGATGACTACAAACGAGGCTTTGGGAATCTGAATGGTGAGTTTTGGCTCGGACTGGACAAGATTCATCGCCTGACAAAAGAACGAAGCAGGCTACATGTGGATCTTGAGGAGACGACTGGAAAAACAGCTTACGCTGAATACGACTTTTTTGGTGTTGCAAGTGAGAGAAGTAAATACAAGCTGAGTCTGGGAACATATTCTGGTAAATTGTGTTTTAAAAAGATCATTTCATATAGTTCTATCATCGGAATTAATTTTTCTTTCTTTTTTTCTTTTTTAGCTACTTTTAATTCAATCAGCACTTTTTATTGCAACATCCATTCACTTTATTACCAACTTTCAAAACACAAACAAACAAGCAAGCAAAAAAGAAAGCAAAATCCGCTTTAAAAAGTTTCAAAGTTTATTTCTACGATGCCATGCGGCCTGAAACAGCAAATCAATTCAAGTTGTTGAAACATTGTCACTTGAGTTGGGGTGAAGAATTCGCCTTTCTCATACAAATTATTCATTTCAAGTTTTAAGTCTTAAGTTTATTGTTTGCCAGAACTAAATACTAAAATATGAAAAGCCAATTTCGAGGAAGCCCAAATAAGGAACTAATCGAATGTATGCCAAATTCGACCATCACTTATTTGAAGTCGAGTTCAACATATTGTCAGCCTTTTGCCGTTTTTGTTTGTTTGTTGTTGTTGTTGTTTGTTTTTTCTAGTATGTATGTAAACATTCCAGCAGCTAACCTAGCTAATAAATCACCTGGCAAGTTTCACTTACAACCTGGGAATTTGGGAATTGCCCCCCCTCCCTTCCCCCACTGGCAGTAACGACGGGCATGCAGTAACTTCTAATCCTTCTTGTTTTTTGCCTAAGGAACTGCAGGTGACTCGCTTTCACCTCATCGTGGAATGGCGTTCTCCACCAAAGATCGTGACAACGACCGTAGATCCGACAAAAGCTGTGCGATACTCTGCAAGGGAGCTTGGTGGTATAACTCCTGTGTTGCTTCAAATTTAAACGGCCTCTATCATCACGGGACACACTCTACGTCTTTTGAGGGTGTCAACTGGAATACGTGGAAAGGCGGCACCTACTCCGCTAAGCGAGCTGAAATGAAAATCAAACCAGTAAACGCATAGAGCTAACTTGCTTTTGAGCTCTTCCGCTTAAATTGATCAAGAGATGGCTCTTGATTTGATTTAATCGATATAATACATGGACGCACATGATTAGTAGCTCAGCGAAGGAGTAAATTTTGATCACATTACTTAATAAGTAATTAGTACACGATAAAACGTGAATAAATAGTAGGTAGGACTATCTATCTACTTATGCTACACAAAATATAATTTTCGGCAAGACTAAAAGCGGAGCTCCTACTCAATACTAACATAGTAACCATTTTAAGACACTGCGATGGAAATAAATACCTCTGACTACAAAATGTAAAGGAAATGAAAATTTAATATATAGATTTAGCTAGGGCTAAAAGCGAAGCTCCCGTTAATAAATTTATAATTTAAATCAGTCAATAAACTTGTAATCCACAAATCAGTTAACTTTAGGGCACATTCATTTGAATTTTGGGGGAAAGGCTAAGTGATTTTAGAGAAAAAAGAGTTTGCAAACAGTTAAATGAAGGGTTAACCAAATTTTACATCGAGTCAATAGTCTTTATGTACACCCCAAAAATAGCAATCATCTTCGATTACAGTAGATTAGGCCTAGAAAACAAATTATTCCTACCGAAAATAACTCCGTTGCCCACCTATACACCACCTTGGTATTTTATAAGGTTAATTGGACAGCCCGAAATATAATTTTATGCTATAAAAGCCTATTATAAGACACGATAGTCCTTGGTGGCAGCGATTTAACATGTTACAGTTTCTAGGTTGCATTTCTTTGTCCTTAGGGAGGCCAAATTAAAAGAAAATCACGCTGGATTTTTTTGTGTTCGACAAGTTTACTTTACGAAATCTTGCCGACAAATCTGGTGGCGAGTAAACCAGCCTTTTTGTACTTTTTATACATAACATCTGAGATACACAGTACTTAAAAATGAGGAGCTGTTTTTGTTAACAGACCTCGGACAGATATTTTGCTCGTTTTTGGTAAACCTATTGCAAGACTAATTGCACTCATTCAGTATTCAGGGCGATCGAAGCACCCGCTTCCTTTGGACAACAAATTATTGAACTGACTACATTATAAAAAGTTTTCATAAAGAGAATTCCATTATGTCGGGACTTTTCAGTCAGAACAATCTGCTCCTATGTGGTATATGCAAGGTAGTAATGCGCTTTTAGGGAAAAATCAAAATCAATATACAGCAAGCCGGTTCTCACTTTCGACAAGTGCCAATTTTGTAGTGCGAGAGAGATACGCTTCAACATAATAAAGAATTTATTACGTCTATTTTTTAATTTATGGTTTTGTAAAGCTTCCGAAAGCGTTTGATACGCGCGCCATTTTGAGTACTCTTGCATGCGATGTTTATGTTCGACTAATAAAACCAAACAACAAAGCGATTAAAGTTGCGAAAGAGACTACTAACAATCAATAAAAGGAATATAATTCAATAAAACATTTACAGGGACAACAATTTTCATTCACGAAGACAAGTACTGAGAGAAAAGTATTCCTGAAAGTCTTGAGTTTTTAAGCATATAAGGTTCCTTGCAGATTTAATCGAAAATTATGTTTTAACCCGGCTTCCCGGTATTTGCTATTTTTTAGATAAACACGAGGCAAGAAAATCGCTCAAGGCTTTCCTTCTACAGCCAAGATTAAAACCAAATATTCTTCGGAAAGTTTTCTTTCTATTTGCGGTCAGAACATGTCTAAAGCAGGGGTGTAAAGGCTTTTTAAAGTTCTAAAGCTTACATCACTGATCAAATCTTACTAACGTACATACAACGTACATGAGCTAGCCACATAAACTACGCTCAACTTCATGAAATAACAAAAAAGTTATCAATACAGTAATTACTCAGGCTTAC